ATGGCCTGGCACGGCATGGCAAAGCTCTTCCCTTCTCGATCCCCTTGTTCGTCTCTCCCACTGACTTGGCCGTCGTTGCTTATTTCATTTTATTATATGCCAGCCAACAACTTTGAGTGTGTATCTGTATTTGTGTGTGTGTATGTCTTCTGTGTGTGCATGTTGCTGTTCCTTATCTACGTCTTTGTCATCGTGCGACGTACGTAGGCTTCACACACACACACACACAGATACATATACTCGTGCAGGCACACGTATTTGTTGGTTCGTTCGTTCGTTCGTTTGGCTCGTTCAGTTCGTTTTCAAGCGCGCCATAACTACCACTGGCCAAACCCGTCCCCCCATCCCTCCCCCCACTTTGCTGTCGCCTTCTTGCTACGTCCGCTTCAACCGCTCCATTCGCCCTGGCAAGCGCTTCAAGTTGCAGCCGTCGTCGTTCAGCGCTGTCGTTCCACATTGCTTTAGCTTTTGTGTGCCGTGCCATGCCATGCCATGCCTGTGTAGTCTGTGGTCCCCCCCTCATGCTCCTTCTTCCACTTCTATCACTCAGCGCTGAGTGTGGTGCGGTGTGCTGTGCTGTGCTTTAGCTTTGCCGTCAGTTCGTCGTCGTACATTTCATTTCACTTCACTTAATTTCTCAGATACCAAAACGAACGGCGTTGTATTTTTCTTCTTGTGCGCTCTCCGCCCTGCCTGCCACTTCATGCCGGCTGGCGTCGACGACGACGAATACGTTGGATCGTTGTATATTTGTATGGTTGTGTCTGCATCTGTGTGTGCGACTCGAATTGCTGGCTGTCGGTTTAAGTTTTTATGTGTATGCGGCGATGCGGCGGCTGCTTCTTTCCCTTGCCTGAAATTGTTTGGGTTTTAGCATTTTCTTGCTTTACTGCTGCTGCTGCTGCTTTTGCTGGTGGTGCTTCTTCTTCCATTCTCTGCTTATAGAGATGCCACAGCAAAGAGTCGAATCGAGTAGATTTGGAGTGGGTTGGGAGTTGTTGCTTTTGTCGGTGTTGTAGTTGTTGTTGTTTTTGTTGTCGTAAAGCGCATACAATGAGATTTGACGTTTATGATTTCTTTGTAACCTGGTTATTATTGCGCCATTGTTATTGTTGTTGCCATTGCTGCCGCTAACGGTAACAACAATTTGTCCAAGAGAGTGGTGAACTTTCTTGTTGTTGCTTTTGCTGTTACCGGCAATGTCACAAAAGGTCGTGGTTAAAAGTTACTTTTGGTCCATGTATTTGTTTGTTGTTGTTGTTTTGATTGAGTTGCATTTTTCAAATTGACAATAAATGCGAAATCATTTCCACTTCCTTTTACAATTTTTGTGCCTGTTGTTGTTGTGGTTGCAAATCTTAAGGCTACCCCTTGTGTATTGCCATAAATTTCTTTTGCGCTCATTATTTAACATTACGCTTAATTTGTATTTATTGTTTGAGTGGCTTCATCAGCCAACAATAGCTATTTGGCTGTTTGCCTGCTTGCTTGCGTGCCAGCCTCTGGCCTGTGCTGTGCCTGTGCCCCTACCGACAGAAACAATGACGTTTATTGTAAAAATTACCGCGCGCATTTTTATTGCCTGTTTATTATTATTGTTTTGATGCCAATATACATACATACATACATGTGCACAGAAATACACATACATAATACAAATGTATGATTTTTCCCGAAGAATACTTAAACTGATTCAGAAAAATTTGCATTTGGTCTAGTGGTCGTCGAAAAGGGAGATTCGTGTTAGATTTATGGGATAAAATGGTTAAAAGATATTAAAAACTAGTTTATGGAAATAAATAATATCATTTTAAAAAGGTATAAAACATACATATGTACATATGTATAGGAACAAAATACTGTTTATTCTTGTTGTTTTATTTAAAGATAGAAAACTTGTTTGTATAATCTTCATTTATCAATGAAAGCAAAAAGTGTTTAACTTTGTATTCTTTGTATTCTATAAACATTTTTACACTTTTATCTATTTACATATAAATAATTACTTAAATATACTTATAGTGTGTTGTTGCAACTGATTTTTGTTTGCCTTTATTCATTGCTTTCGAATCAGCTATTAGGAAATAAACTTTTCTATAAACGCAAGTACTGTCTAGCAATATGAATTAATCGATATTCGTTTGCACAAAGTTAATTATTTGGCTTTAAAGAGCCTAAATTAGCAAATGAATAAGTTTAGGAATCCCCATTCTGCTTTGTTGTAGATCCTAACTGCCCCACATGTTCAAATCTCCACACACACAAACTTAGCCTAACATTCTTATGCATATGCAGGTATAAACATACGTATGTATGTGCGTGTGTACTTTGGGCAGTCAAAAGTCGCGCTAATGCGACGTCGGGTTCAACGTCGACAGCGCTGCTGATAGCGGCGTCGCTACCTCCTACCCATTCAGTCAGCCGTTCTTCATAGAGCGGCATGTTGTGTCGCTCTCTCATCAGCCAGCAGCTAGTCACAGTATTGTACTTTTTTCTACACCGTTTTTCACAATTTCTCTTGCTATCGTGTTTCGTGTTGACACTTTTTTGAAGTCAGTCGTCTGCCTCATCAAAATAAATAAAATAAAATAAAACAAAAAGGGACGCAGCCAACCAAGACGAGGAGCATCAAGCACTCATTGTTGTTTTCCCCTCACATAATTTAAAGCAAAGACAATAACAAGCCTTGCTCTTGTTTTTGTTGTTACTTCAGCTCTCTGCTTTTTGCTGTCAAATTGGTAATTATTTTCTATTTAGGTGTGTGTGTGTGTATGTGTATTTGTGTTGTTGTACCTATTACATACGAGCGCTCCACTGTGCCTATCAAACGTTACGCCAATCTGTGCCAAGTTTTGTGCATTCCGTGGATCTTATGAATTGCAAATACATGTCTGGCCATCACATGTGTACATACATACGTATGTATGTACATATACTTGCGTCACTATCAAACGCTTCTACTAATCGCAATCAGAGTTCTGAGTCATGTAAGCTCGGAAAAATGAAACTATTGTAATTGAAATTACAAGTATCGTCACTTCGATTGAAAAACTAACAATTTGTGTCGTTGTACAGTTAATGGCAATTATATAGGCTGCATTGTTCCCACGTAACAAGCAAACGGATTACATACACATTTTGCATTGAAAGAAGCGCATTTATAGAATTCGATTGTTGGAAAGCATAAAAGGACAAGTCTCCAGAATATTGAATACAACTTTTCAAAATGAGGAAATATGTCCTTTGCTTATTGTGAAAGTTTATAAAGAATATATGAAATAGTTATCGCCAATTGGATTATATAAAATTGAAATAGGGCGCTCAACGATGCCATGGACTGCTAGTTCTTAGCTTGTTGTGTGAAAAATGTTAGATACTCTCGTAATAGGATTTATTTCTTTTAAATACAGTATACGTGCAGTATATTTAAAAAGCCAATAATTATAATGGAAATGTGTAATGTTTAACCGATAGATATGGAATGTTAATCTAGTTCAATCAAGGATATACATATTTACCTTTTTATAAGAGTGTAAGCAGATAGTATTTGCAACTAAATGTATTAAGGCTTTGTCATTGTTAATAATGCAATTATTTTTGTTAAGTTAATGAGCTTAAATGTTTAACCTGTTCCATTACTAACTAACTATACATCTTCAAAGTTGCTCATTTTCAAAATATCTTACATTAATCTTTACTTTTACTTAAAATATATATATTATAGATTTTAATCCAAACTGATATCAGTGATAGATCAATTGCTCTTAACTCCAACTTTAATTTCCTATACATATGTACTGTACATAAATAGGAAATGATAAATTTCATTACATTATTTTGAATCGATGCAATACACTCGTTCACAAACATTTTTATGTGTATGTTGATAAAAAGTAATGTATGTATGTATGTATATGTACATATACACGTATGTGTTTAAAGCAAAGCGCGATTGTTCAATCAATTTTGCGTATAAAGTGAATTACATTTAAAACAGCTGTGCAACAACAACTTCAAATAACATCTGACAGACAGGTGCCGGCGCAACTGTAAGCTGGGCGGCAACCAACGTTTAAAAAGAGAATTCGCTCGGTTGGTAGCCACACACACACAGATACACATACATATATCCATGCAAACAAACACGCTAACCAAAGGCAAGCATTGAACAACATCAGGCCACCTCCCCCAACCACCCCTACGATGTCATGCCCACACTAAACAAATTTCATTCATAAAATGATTTATGTATGGTACATGGGCAGCAGACCTGCCCCCATCCCCCACACCCACTCTACAAAAGCACCCACCCAGCCGTTCCCACCGTGCCCCACCAACCAAACCAAGCAACCAAAGTCAAAGTCACGCATCTTGAAAATGCGATGCCGCAATGGCAAAGCGGCAAGTGCTGTTTTGTTGGTGTTCACAACGACAGCGCTTTTTATTTATTCGTCTCCTTTTGTTGTTGCTGTTGACTTACTTACATACATATATATGTATGTGTGTATTCATACATATGTACATTATTAGTGCCCATGCTTTGTTGTTGCTGGCGTTGCAGCGCGCTGCTAATTATAGTCAATGGTCGCAGTTGTTGCTATTGCTGTTGTTGTTGGTAGGTAGTAGTTGTTTATATTGCCATAAGTAAGTTGGCAAACCAAAAACAACAATAACAACAGAATCTTAAAAGTATATATGGTTTTTTGTTTCTCCAACGCGCCATTCCTCATTTTTCGCCACGTGCAGCTCATCAACAATTTTCATTTCAAGTTGCCACTGCTGCTGTTGTTGTTGTTATAGTTATGTATTGCTACTACTGTTGTTGTTGTTACCATTTAGTAGAAAATGTTTTTTTCTTTATCTATCAGATTCATTTGGTGCGAGTAATGCCGGCCGGCCGGCATTCTTTGTATTTGTTACTCTCCATTAGGCAATCAGCTGATTATTGGATTAACTATTCTTTGACTAACCATTGATATTTCATTATCTTACCATTACAGGAGCTAATTGGCCAAAATAGCAACGACAGCTCGAGTGGGGGCGCACACAGCGGCATGGGCTCTGGACCGCCGGGCACCCCAAATCCACAGCAAGTGATGCGACCCACACCATCGCCCACTGGCTCGTCCGGTTCACGTTCCATGTCGCCGGCCGTAGGTAAGTCAATGAGCATCGATAATATCTACAGAATTAAAACGTATGCCTCTTCTCTTGACAGCACAAAATCATCCGATCTCGCGTCCGGCGAGCAATCAGTCAAGCGGTGGCGGTCCCATGCAGCAGCCACCAGTGGGCGCCGGTCCGCCACCAATGCCGCCGCACGGTCTACCCGGTGTACCACCGCAGCAGCAGCAACAACAACAGCAGCAGCAGCAACAATCTCAACCCCAGCAGGCTTCAAATTCAGCCTCATCGGCGAGCAATTCGCCACAGCAGACACCGCCACCAACGGCGCAGCCAAATCAAAGCATTAACAACATGGCCACACCACCGCCACCGCAGGGTGCAGCCGGTGGCTATCCCATGCCACCACACCTCATTGGCACCTATAAAATGGGCGGACCGGGACAAAGTCCCGGCGCACAGGGCTACCATCCGCCACAACAGCCGCAACAATATGCGCAAGGTGAGATCGATATAACGATTAGATTATATATTATTACACCCGTACTGCTCATTGATGGAATATACATAAGTTCAGTTAAATTGAACAGCTTATAATAATTATTATTTCGGTTCACAAAAAAAATTAAATACAGAAATTCTTAAGAGCCAATTGAACAAGAACAATTAGGGAATAGGTTAGTTAAATTTTAAATGGTTGGTTAAATTTTAGAAACACATTCCAGAAAGTAAAACCCCTTAACTCACTCCATCTAAAAATTGAAGAAGATTTTGAATAGATGTATGGTTACGTTAATAGAGCAGATCCAGAACTTCCCCGCGCCATCTATGTCACGCATTAAAGTATAAAGTGTAACCTCCTAGATCTAAGCCATAGAAAAATGTGTGCATAATTGGGGCTCTGTCTGAAAGTCAAGCTTCTATTAAAAGCATTCGGAGGTAAATTATTTTCTGATACAAGGGATAAGTTGGACAAACTGGGGAAGCGAAACCCTTCAGAACTAGAACTATTGTATGGCATAGGCAAGCATATAAAGGGCCTTCTAAGAAAGAAAGAAAGAACTTAGGTGAACAATCTTAGCCTAAAGATTAGCAACTAAGACAACTTGTAAATAATTTCGTAAGACTGGACAGGCTGAGATGGAATTAGGCAATACTGCAAACCTACTACATATCAGAACAGGACCCTTACGAAACTCTTGCTATATAAGAGGTATCTCCTTTATTGAAATGGGATAAGAAGAATTCTTATATACAATATACTATATAGGTATAATAGAAAAAATAGCAATGCCTTCCTAGAATATTGAATTTATTGACTTATGAGTTGCAATCGTCTCTTTACTAAACTTGCTTATCTCTTGTGTAGGCAACTACGCGCCACGCCCACAGTATCCGCCGGGAGCCTATGCCACCGGTCCACCGCCACCGCCTACAAGTCAAGCCGGTGGTGTTGGCGCCAATAACATGCCACCCGGCGCACAAGCAGGCTATCCGGGCCGACCCATGCCCAATCATAGCGGCGGAAGTCCGCATGCACCGTATCCGCCCTATCAGTGGGTGCCACCGTCGCCACAGCAATCCGTGCCCGGCGGCGGAGCGCCCGGACAGGTGGGCAATCATGTGCAAAACAAGGGCACCCCACCACCGGTGGGACCGCCACCAACTCAAGGAGGTGGCTCACCACGTCCTATCAACTATCTGAAACAGCATTTACAGCACAAAGGTGGCTACGGGGCCAGCCCCACACCGCCGCAGGGCTATGGCAATGGGCCCGCAGGCATGCATCCCGGCATGCCAATGGGTCCACCTCATCATATGGGTCCGCCGCACGGACCAACGAGCATGGGTCCGCCAACAAGTACGCCCCCACAGTCGATGATGGGCGCACAGGCGGGCAGTGATAGTGGACCCCCGGAGCATATATCGCAGGATAATGGCATTAGCTCATCGGGTCCTACTGGCGCAGGCATGCATGCGGTCACATCGGTGGTTACTACCGGTCCGGACGGCACGCCTATGGATGAAGTTAGTCAGCAGAGCACGCTCTCGAATGCATCGGCGGGTGAGTAAAAACCAAACAGTAACTATGGGCGGATTTCTAAAACTTGTGTTTTGTTTCTTTAGCATCCGGCGAGGATCCACAATGCACCACACCAAAGTCGCGCAAAAACGATCCATATAGCCAAAGTCATTTAGCACCTCCGAGCACTTCGCCACATCCTGTTGTCATGCATCCGGGAGGTGGAGCGCCAGGCGAGGAGTACGATATGAACTCGCCACCCAATTGGCCGCGTCCAGCTGGTAGCCCGGTAAGTCGTCATAGACTCTCTAGCGATTGTTCCCAACGACTAACGTTTTATATTCTGTACCCCTTGCAGCAGGTGTTCAACAGTCATGTGCCTGTGCAGCCGGAACCATTTCGTAGCACTGTTACTACCACCAAGAAATCGGATTCATTGTGCAAACTCTATGAGATGGATGATAATCCAGATCGAAGGGGCTGGCTTGATAAGCTGCGCGGCTTCATGGAGGAGCGCCGCACCCCCATCACCGCCTGCCCAACAATCTCAAAACAGCCACTCGATTTATATAGGTTATACATTTATGTAAAAGAACGTGGCGGATTCGTCGAGGTATGCAAGGTGCCGTAGTAACTCCTTTTACTAACTTCTTTTTAGATTTACTAGCAAAAACCAAAAATCAAACCAAACCAAACCACAATTAGTCTTCAACCAACCAACCAACCAACTATCATAATTCACAAAAACCAACACAAAAAATACCAACCAAACAAAAAAAACAATATTCGAAAATTTAGCTAACACACCACAAGATATATATCGAATGATCCATCATTTGACAACAGAAACAAAATCATCCGAAACCTGACAATGCAAGTAACCCCCAACCAGAAACCCAGCATCTTCCTTCCATCTCCATTTTCATTCCTGAATAACCGCTTCCTAACAAAGTCATTAAATTGTAGCTGCATTTTGAATAGAATCAAGTCAATATATCTTGTCTTTTGGCCCAAATAAACCATAGATCAGCAAAGAAACAAAACTAAACACAAAAATAAAAACGAAATGAAACCATGCGGCGCAAGTTTGAGACTAAATTTTGTTTTAAATAAATGCATGCCACCTTTTAAAGCACGTTTTAAATTTTTTCTAAATAAAAAACAAGCTCGCCTAAAAGTTTAAATCAACGCTTGTTGAGCGGTCTAGCAATCTCAATACAAATAACCAAATCGTAATGAAAATTATTTATGTACTTGAAATCGCTAGCAAAAGTATTAAAAATCGACATTGAGATCGCAAGGCCGTTCGTATTTTGGATTCAATATTAAATTGTTTTTTGCTATTTAAAGTAAAAGGAAAAAATATTACTAAATTACATATTTATAATAATAATAATAAGAACATGTTCAAAATGTTTGTCTACAATCTTTTTGCATTCCCTAATATATTTTTGGTTGATTGAACGTATTTAGAACCCGTAGTGATATCCCTCCCATCCAATTGTTTATTTTTAGTTCGTAAGTAGTTTTTGATTTTCTAACCATTAATACCCTATTTTAAATTAAGTTTGTGTGTGCACTTTTCAAAGATTCTATAATTGATTTGAAAATATTGAGAGAAATGTAAGCGTCTTAACGGAATGCATCCAAACACTACAAACATTGCATTGTTTGCCTGTGATTTCATTATTTTTTTAAGTCCTTATATTTACAAAAATTTCAACGTGTTTTTCCAAACGCTCCATACAAGCGCACACACCCCAACTGACCAATCGAAAAAAAACAACCCTATATTTCTGAATCTACCTCAGGTGACCAAAAGCAAAACATGGAAGGATATTGCGGGTCTGCTGGGCATTGGAGCCAGCAGCAGCGCCGCCTATACGCTAAGGAAGCACTACACCAAGAATTTGCTGGCCTTCGAGTGTCACTTCGATCGTGGAGACATCGATCCACTGCCCATCATACAGCAGGTGGAGGCGGGCAGCAAAAAGAAGACAACAAAGGCAGCCTCAGTGCCATCGCCAGGTAAGTGTCTAACAAATCTACTCTTGGTTCCATTTTATGAGTTGTGGTATTCACATAGTGTCCTTTAAAAGACTTCTCAAGCGTAATTACACCTAATTCTGTTTTTACATGGTAGATTGGCTCCAGAAACAACCGTAAAAAAATACATTGATCATATGCCAAAATAGGTGATTGGTTCCTTATCTCTAGAGAAATATATGTGCAATTTTTATACCCTGTACCCAAAGGGTACAAGGGTATATTAGTTTTGTGCGAGTGCACATGGAACACACAGAAGGAGACTTGGTAGACCCCACAAAGTATATATATTCTTGATCAGCATGACAAACCGAGTCGGTATAGCCATGTCCGTCTGTCTGTATGAACGCAAGGATCTCTGAAAGTATAAGAGCTAGAATAACCAAACTTGGTATACAGATTCTCCTGAGACCGAGAAAGGACGAGTTTGTTCATTTTTTCTGATCCACCCCCCCCCCCCCCCCAACCGCCCCCACCCTTTAACGATTTTCTATAACTCCCGTAATTCTTGGAATTTTGAAAATTTGGTAGTCACATTAGGTTAGTGATTATATATCCGTATACCAAGTTTCATTATGATAGAATGATCGGAAAGAAAGTTATAGGCATATAACCAGGCCCAATGCACACATACATACATATGTACAAGTACACAAACACGCATAAGGCACGATTCTGATGTAAATGTATGTATGCATGCATGGAATATTTTATATTTAATTTAGTTATTTAATTAAATTAATTTAGTTAATTAATTTAATTAAATTAAATTAATGAATTAATTAAATTACTTTTTGTGGGGTCGTACAGGGTATTTAAGAGTTGAGCCTGCTCGACTTTAGCATTCCTTTCTTGTTTAATTTTCAAACCGTGCTATCAAACCGTATTTAAAAACAGAATTAGGTGTATAGCTTTGTATTTTTTTTTTACTGAGACTAGTTCTACAAGAAAAGCAGCAAGTAATTGGCCTCTACTTGATGCTTCACTCCTCCTCCCATTTCCAAATAACGATTCAAATTTGCGGAATCGAAATTTGCATTCACTGAAAAAATGCTTTCACACAGTTTTTAGTTTTCAAAAGTAAATAAAGAATAGCAAAAGAATGAACTATAGCGGGATAGTAATGATAACCTTTTATTTTCCCAGGCAAATTGCCCAATTGGGTTCCAATTAATCTTGAAAATCTCTCATCTAATTAAAGCAGATGGGGTCTCCATTGGTGAAATGAGAATTAAGATAGCCAGACGGGGTTTTCCCCCTTTCTTTTAGTGGTGTTTTTCCAATTTTCGAGCACCTTCCTTTTTCATGCATTGTGAACGAGCCCCTCCCAGGTCCCCGTAACAATAAAACGGTTTACCTTTAAAGAAGTAATACAAATAGGGGATAGCATTTATATTTAAACTCTGGATAAGCCAAATAATACTATAAACCATAGTTCCAACACAAAGAATGTTTCTAAACTTACTATCAAGTAAATGATATATAAATTAATCTGAAATTTCTTTGGCAATACACTAAACGTGTACCTAAAGCTAATTGAATCCGTTTTAAACACACTACCTTGTGAATACTCGCAGTCTTTTGTTGATTTTTTGTAAAGAACTTTGTATTTCAACATGCATATTTTTTGCGTTTATTTCTTATTATTTTCGGTATGTACTTGAAAATGTTTTTCACGACTTTTTCTCCGCATCAATTTAAACAAAATAATAATAATAAACGCAAACCCCACCATCTTGCAACCAATCGGTGGTGGTCATTTGGATGCGGCAACAACAAATTCGACAGGCTCGTCGAACTCACAGGACTCATTCCCAGCGCCGCCCGGCGCTGCGCCCAATACTACAATCGATGGCTATGCAGGCTATCCGGGCGCAGGCGCCTACCCGGGAGCTGCCGGTCCGCAGCCGGATTATGGGGCCGCGGGCCAAATGCAGCGACCTCCATCTCAGAGCAATGCGCAGACACCGCATGCAGGTGAGTTCAAATGAAAATTCAATTGATTATTTATTGTTTTTCAAATAATACTAAGGATTAGGATACTGAAATTAATTCGTTTTGGCCATTGTTCGTTCGTTTTGCTAATTTAAAAATATCATTTTAATTTTGTAAATCGCTAAAAATTTGAACAACGACAACCTCAACAATAACAACAACAACAACGACAACAAAAACTCACGCTCATTTTGTTGGCTGCTTGCGTTGTTATTTATTTTTTAGTTTTTATTCCTGCAGTTAATTAATTAATTGAATTTCATGTGTGTATTTTGTTTACTCATTTTATTTTTATGTTTTTTATAATTAATTGTGGGCACGCTACTAAAATCAAATTATCAACAACCACAACAACAACATCATCACTACAACGACAATGCACAATCAAACAACAACAAAAACACCACTTCATGTGAACAACAATTATCTCACAAAAACAACAATACCAACAACAACATTTTCATTGTGTTCATACTTGTGTCATTCATGCATTCATTCATTTCAATCAAACCATTCGTTCATTCATTCATCCAACCAACCAATCAACCAACCACGATCATTCATCAAACGCCGCCTCTCAGGCACACAAAATCAAACAGCCGCTGATAATATAAGCGTGAGCAATCCCTTTGATGATCCAATTGCTGGCGGTGTTGCCTCCGGCGGAGCTGCTGCTGCTGGTGTTGCTGCAGGTGTTGGAGGCGGCGGTGGACCGAACCAACCACCACCCCCACAATCACCGCACGCCGCCGCATCCCAAGCGGGTGGTCATCCACAACAGCAATCGGGCTCAGCATTGCCGCCTTCGGCCCAACCATCGCAGCATCAGCAACAGCAGCAGCCGGCAGGCGCACCACCGCCACCACATGGGCCACCGGTGCCGTCGTCGCCGCAGCATGCGCGCCCCGCCACTGGAGCACCTTATCCGCAGGGTAGCTCTGGGTATCCAACGCCTGTGTCTAGAACGCCAGGTATACTCCTCTTTTCATTTGGTTTTCATTATTATTTTGACTTAATTATGCACATACATTGTTTTGTTTGTTGTAAAAATGTATAGTATGGAGCTTTGAAATACAATATTCTGTTTTATGTAGATGTTTAGTTGCAGCCTTTCACTCTACTTGTATCTGGTACCCCTAAACGTATTTGGAATTTTCTTTCACTGCTCTCTTTCTCTCTCTATAGTGCCATCTGTGCCATATCAATTGTACGGATTCTCTCCTTTAGGTTTCATTATGGTCTTGTGATACTACACTAAAGAAATGTACTATAAATATTCTTTGGAAAAGAGCCTGTGCTAAAATACCAATTTTTCTTAGTCTAGTGTCATAAGGCCGGCATTTACTAAATGAGACGATCATGAGAAAGATTGTATATTTTTAATTTATACTCTTTTATAAATACATAAAATATAAAATAAAAATTTCATTCATTAAATAGTAATAAAACCATTAACTTTTCTAGATCTAACCGTAACATCATACCTTTTAACAATTTACTTTATTTGGTTCCTAGAAAAAGGTTGTTTTACCTTAATATGTTTAAAATTAATTTGTATATGTATATGGTTTTGAGCGATTAACCACCGAACCGCATTGACTGACATATAAGGCAACATAATACTATTGATTTTGTTGATCCTAAATCGATTTCTCTCCTCAACGTCAAACACATCCATATATGGAACATCCGACCCATTCCTTGACCTCCTATTGACTTCAATTTAAATGAATTTGGACATATTGTTTACTTTTGTCATTCCAATTTTTTAACGCATAAATTACTTGGTACTTAACCATTCTGTTTTTATGGTATTTATATCAGTATTTTAATTATTTATTATTACATTTAACACTCATTTTTTCATGGAATAACTAACAAACCCATTATCATTATAGTTTATTATTATGTTTTCTAATCCCACTAAATCCAAAAACATTATATTTTTCAGGTTCACCCTATCCCGCACAGCCGGGTGCTTATGGCCAAGCATATGGTTCGTCTGATCAGTACAATGCCACTGGACCACCCGGTCAGCCGTTTGGACAGAATCAAGGACAATATCCGCCACAGAATCGCAATATGTATCCTCCCTATGGGCCCGAGGGAGAAGCGTGAGTTGCTCATTCATTACCTAGTCACCTACACTAACACCCACCACATACAGCCTAACACGAACAAAAAACAGATATCGTAACTGACTGTACTGTATTTCCAATGCTATATCTAAATCCTTATGTGGTCCCTTTGAACTAGATTTCACATCAGATTACTGATTCTTTCGTTCTCCACAGACCCCCAGCCGGTGCTAATCAGTACGGACCCTATGGCAGTCGGCCATATAGTCAAGCACCTCCAGGTGGACCACAGCCACCAGCGCAAGGCGTTGCGGGCGGACCACCGACAACGGGGGCACCAGTAGCGCCACCTAGCGGCGCCTACGCGCCAGGAACTCCCACACAGCAGGACTATTATAATAGGCCGCCAGAACAAGTAAGTAAACGAGCATGTGACGCTCAATTGATTTCAAATTAACAAATAATAAACCTCATGCTAACCACAGAGTCCACAACCTCGACGACATCCCGACTTTGCCAAGGACTCACAGCCGTATCCTGGCTATAACACGCGACCTCTCTATGGTAAGTTCTGGTGAAAACTGAAATAGCAGTCCTTACTAATTGGTACTTTTTATTAACCTAGGTGGTTGGCCAGGCGGCACCGCGTATCGTCCTCAATACCCTTCCTCGCCAGCGCCACAGAACTGGGGCAATGCACCACCAAGAGGCACTGCACCACCCGGCGGTCCACATGTGCCGCCAAATCAACAGCCTGCCGGTGCAGCCCAATGGGAGCAGCATCGTTATCCGCCACAACCGGCACCTCCGCCACAGCAACAACAACCGCCTTATCAACAGGGTGCGCCACCAGGACAGCAACAACCACAAGCACCACCACAATGGGCACAGATGGGTGCTGTACCAGCGCCACAGCCTGGCATTGCACCACCCGGTTCACCATTGCGTGCGCCAGCCGGTGGAGCGCAACAGCAGCGTTTGCCTAGCGGTGTTCCGGGAATGTCGCCGCAACAACAGCAGCAACAGCAACAACAACAGCAGCAGCAACAACAACAACAGCAACAGGGGCAAGCGGTGCAACAACCACCGCATGTGGGCGTGCCCGCGCCAGGGATGCCGCCTGGAGCTGGGCCCATGGTCAAACCACCCTATGTAATGCCACCGCCTTCGCAGACGGCCGGCGCAACACCTGGCGTGCCTATTGGTGTTGGTGGTGGACAGCCCGTACCAGTGGGACTGCCACCTGGCAGCATGATGCCACAAAAACCGTCAACAATGCCGCCACAGCCACAACAACAGCAGCCACCGCAACCCCATCAATTGCCACCCAATCAGCAGGCGGTATATGCGCCACCACAAGCACCCGGGCCTGCTGCCCAGTTGGCCAAGAAGGAGCTTATCTTCCCGCATGACAGTGTTGAGGCTACCACGCCGGTGCTCTATCGTCGCAAACGGCTGACCAAGGCTGATGTTTGCCCCGTCGATCCCTGGCGCATATTCATGGCGATGCGATCTGGTCTGCTCACCGAATGCACCTGGGCCCTGGATGTGCTTAATGTACTGCTCTTTGATGACTCCACTGTACAGTTCTTTGGCATCTCCCATTTACCCGGACTGCTGACATTGCTTCTGGAACACTTTCAAAAGAATCTCGCCGAAATGTTCGACGAACGCTGCGAGGAGGCGCTCGACGAGGCAGACGATGATACGGACAGCGGCACCGTGATGACAACACAGACAACGGAGAAGTCTGAGATGTCACAAAAGCTGCGTCGGCGGCAGCCACGTTGCGTGCGCAGCATTTGCAGCTATAATCGGAAACGTCACTATGAGAATATGGATGTGGCGAAACAACGTGGCGAAGATTCCGACGATGCCGACGAAGGCATCGATCTGGGACAGGTGCGTGTTCAGCCCAATCCTGAGGAGCGTTCGCTACTGCTCTCCTATACGCCCAATTATACGCTTATCTCACGGAAGGGCGTGCCAGTGCGGATACAACAGGCGCATCATGACATATTTGTCGATGAGCGCCAGAAGTCTTGGGATTTTGATACAAATAAACTGTATGAGCAACTGGAGCCGGTGGGCAGTAATGCATGGACCTATGGCTTCACGGAACCCGACCCTCTCGACGGTATTGTCGATGTGTTCAAATCGGAGATCGTAGACATTCCATTTGCTCGCTATATACGCGGCGACAAGCAAGCGAAACGAGAGCAGGCGGCGGCGCTTAAGAGCAAGAGTAATGGCAATGGCAACAATAGCACAAAGGCAACCGAGGATCCGTCGTGTGTTAGCATTAAGCAGGAGGATAATACTGCAACCGGTACGGAAGAGAACAGTTTATTGCAGCAAAGCTACAACAAAAAGCGACGACTCGTCACAGTCGGCGGAAGCTCTGTTGTCCCAAGTGGGGAAGGGAAAAAGTCAAAGCTGGACGAAGAGTTTGCGCAGCCTGCGGTCGAGATCAAAAAGGAGCCAACAGCAACAGCCGCAACCACAAGTAGCGGTGGGAATTCAACGACCAGCGACAGTGACTGTCGTGCCGTTGACATGGATATTGATTCTCCACAGTCACAGACCCAGCAACAGCAGCAGCAACGTCTTACCAATGGCATCGAAGCGTCGCCACTCAAAGGTTTTGATCCCAAGACGACAGTAAAGGATGTAGCGCAGGTGTTGCAACGTCGACGCGACTCCAGTTTTGAGGATGAATGCTACACTCGTGACGAGGCCTCGCTATATCTGGTGAATGAGAGTCAGGACTCATTGGCGCGTCGCTGCATAGCCCTGTCGAACATCTTTCGCAATCTGACATTTGTGCCCGGCAACGAAACGGTGCTGGCCAAATCCACCCGCTTTCTGGCCGTGCTCGGACACCTGCTGCTTCTCAATCATGAACACTTGCGGCGTACACCCAAAACACGCAATTACGATCGCGAGGAGGACACAGATTTCAGTGATTCGTGCAGTTCACTACAGGGAGAACGCGAATGGTGGTGGGACTATCTGATTACCATACGTGAGAATATGCTGGTAGCTATGGCTAATATTGCTGGCCATTTGGAGCTCTCACGCTACGATGAGCTCATTGCACGCCCACTTATCGATGGGCTGCTGCATTGGGCTGTCTGCCCCAGCGCCCATGGTCAGGATCCATTCCCTTCGTGTGGTCCGCATGCAGCGCTTTCCCCACAGCGTCTGGCTTTGGAGGCGCTCTGCAAGCTCTGCGTTACAGATGCCAATGTGGATTTGGTTATAGCAACGCCACCGTTTTCGCGTCTGGAAAAGCTGTGCGCCGTCCTCACGCGTCATCTGTGTCGCAATGAGGATCAGGTGCTGCGTGAATTCTCCGTGAATCTTCTGCATTATCTGGCTGCTGCCGACAGCGCCATGGCGCGCACAGTGGCACTCCAATCACCTTGCATATCGTATCTGGTGGCGTTCATTGAGCAGGCTGAGCAAACGGCACTGGGTGTGGCCAATCAGCATGGCATCAATTACCTGCGCGAAAATCCTGACTCTATGGGCACCAGTTTGGATATGTTGCGACGGGCAGCCGGCACGCTACTCCATCTGGCCAAACATCCCGATAATCGCTCGCTATTCATGCAGCAGGAGCAACGTTTGTTGGGTCTGGTCATGTCACACATACTGGACCAGCAGGTGGCTCTTATTATATCACGTGTGCTCTATCAAGTCTCCAGAGGTACGGGACCCACGCACTCCGTCGAATATCGATTGTTGCAACAGCGACAGCAACAACTACTAAGACCTACAGCAGCATCAACGTCAACAACACTGTCAACGGCAGCTATTGCTACAGAAAAGCTTGCAACCTCCAGTCTCGCTGGATCATCGCTTGTGAAAAGCGAGTGCAACATCAAACAGGAACCCGCAACCGAATCTGCAAAGCCGCCAGCAGCTCCTGTCCAAGACGAGAACAGCAACAGCAGTAGCCAGCAATTACCTCCGGCAGCAACATTTAACGATGTCAGCAACAGCAGCACCAACAGCAACAGCTGCGGCACCGCCAGCAGCAATCTAAGCAACAGCAGCAGCCTGGGCAGCATCAGCCAACAGGCCCCGCCCACACTTAACAACGTTGCTGCCACCAATTCGATGGCGCATTCAGACCAGACACATCCAGCTGTGGCTCTTGTTGGTGGCAACAACAACAACAGCAGTAATAGCAGCAGCAACAGCAGTAGTGATCAGCAACAACAACAGCAACAATTGCAACTAGGCAAGGCGGCAGCAACATTGAGCAATTTGAATGCAGCAGCAACCGCTGCCAATACAACAGCTGCAGCGGCAGCAGCAAATTCAGCGGCGGCGGCGGCAGCGGCAGCAGCAGCCAGTGTAGCACCCACACCACCTCCCCCTCCGCCCCCAGCGAATGCGGGAACAACGGCAGCCGTTGCGTAGTATACGACAATGTTGCCAGCGGCTTACTATTGGCAACGAGGCGGTGCTGTGGATTAGTGACACAGACAGACACACACACATACACACATTGAATATGTTTAGGTTTTTGCGAGCATTTTCCCCCAACACGTAACTAAAATCGCAGCTAACTTAAGAGAATTTATTATATATGCAGCATGCAGTAAAGTGTTGAGAGAACTGTTGAGAGAGAAAAGCGAACTACTCGTTTGAAACAAAGAAACAAATATGATTGTAAATTAATAACTAGGAGCAGCGTGTATGTTTGTTTATAAGCCACTTACTAATGTAGCATAGTTATCGTATCGTATATGTGTATGTATGTATGTATGTACGCTATAAATTATATAAGCAATTGTAAAACGCTGCAATGCTTTTTAAAGCACGGCATGATGTAGGCAGCAACAAAAATGTTGTCACTCACATGAACACACACACACATTTACCATACACACACACACACACACAATAATTGTATATTTTTCCACCAACAACTCTAGTAAATACTTGCATACACACATTAATATATATATATATAAACATTAACACTTGTGTAGTCGCATGCAAAAGTTTTAGTAATAAATTTTTAAGCGGCAGGCAAAAAACTAAGAAAAATTTCAAACAGAAAACAAACATATACGGGAAAAACAAATCTGAAGAAAATTAACAAGAAATGCTTGTGCAAGAACTTAAGAGGAAGAATAAACACAACAACAAAATATGTATTAAATTTAAATCTAAAGATAAGTACTAACTATACCTACACATACATACGCATATGCACTCGATGGTTTATACATAAAACATGTACTACTATAAATTGTATACACATAACGAGAATCATATATTAAATATATATAAATATATACACACAAAACGAAAGGAAATCAACCTAATTATATAAACGCTAATATATATATATAAATAAATATAGAACATAGTTTTTAAATACATGCTACTACTACTACTACTACTACAAAAACATAAAGTAACTCATATAGTGAACAAATAAAGCGCGAGAAAACTCCCACAACAACAATAACAACAAAAACAACAACAGCGTAAAAAGAATACAATTTGTCAGCAGAAACGAGGAGAGAGGAGTTTCTCATGTGGTGTGCGCCAATAATTCGAAACAAATTACTAAACTCAATTGTAAATATTTAAAGGTCAGGTCTTGTGTGGGTTTCTGTGCACTCTTCTTTTTATAAAACTTAGTTGCAGGCCTCCATACATGCCTATACGATGTAGATTATCGCCGTTGGGTTCAGGATCATAACACTTTAATGTGCCTGTGCCCTGCGGCTGAAGCATGTGTAAATTTGTATGTGTGTGTTGTGTATGTACGTGGATGTGTGTGCATGTGCGTGTGTGTGGGTCGTCCTTGTTCTTGTTTATAGTCGTAGAATTGACGCGAAATTAAATTTCAACAACTGCTTGTACTTTTAGTTATTTTTGTACACATATTCCTTCTTTCCAAACAATGATACAAACGACGCGTCACACTGCATATAAAAATGAAAAAAAAAACCGAGAAAATAAAAGAGTATAAATGGAATATTGAAATACTTAATGTTGAACTTTATATGTTATTTATATATATTATTTACGAGAGTGTGTTGCTGATGTAGACGGTTTTATTTTGTAAGCATTTGTCAAGCTATATAGTTAATGTAAGCGTAGTGTTTATCATTTTTATGGATATAATTGATTATTATTAGTTTCTGAGCAGCAAATGATTGTATATTATAAAATAAAACACACACACACATATATATGTCGAAAATCAACAACAACATACAACTAGAACAAGTTTATGAATTCATTTTATAATACAAGTACGAGAGAATTTTATTTATTAAAACAACTTACAAACGAAGGCAAGATAATATGCATATAAATACTTAAAAAAAAACAAACAAAATACAACACATTTTGAGAAAAATGCTACAAACGAAATAGAAGTACGTTAGGAAGACAGTAGGGAGGGAGAAGCACGCAAGTTTTGATTAAGAAACAGTAAGCATTCGAGATGAGGGAAGCGCAAAACAACAATTACATATTAAAAATGAAAGTATGAAATTGCGAAACAATTTAATACACAAATCTTAAAGCCCAAGACATACGCGACAATTTGTATACAAAATTTATATATATACATATATAAATACATATTTAAACCTGCTAATATATAAACCAGATATTACTGTATTACTGTATCAAAACAAAGGCAAGATCAGAACAGTCAGCCAGAGGGACTGACTGGACTGGGCATTGTAGCAACCACTTTATAAAACTGGCGGCCATGTAGCGCAATGACCAGTAAGCAGGTTAAATCTTGAAGGTGCGGGAGGGAGACCCCGACTATATGAAACGTATACATATATATATATATAGACATACATTATATAAATGTGTATGTAGGTGGTGGACGGATGGTGCGGATGGCGTGGCACGTTTATTTACAGACAGACGAGCCGCAGACGCATAGTTGTTTCCAAGCGGAAAATATTACGAATGAGCATCTCGATATATGAAGTGTAGTTATTAGTGTATAATTTGTCTAGCATGTAAATGTATGTCCCTCAAAACTTAATTTAATTATTTAATTTAAAATACATATTTAAATATATAATAAATAATGAAAACAAAAATCCAAAATTAATACGATTACGAAAAAGTTGAAACAAAACCCAAAAAAAAAAGAAAAACAAGAAAGCTAATTAAAAAGGATTATGATACAAACAAAAAAAAAAGAGAAAAACGGCAAGGAGAACGACAAGAAACTTAATAACTTAATTATAAATATTACAATAATAAAAATAAAAACAAAAATATTAAAAGCGCGTGTCTTACATTCAAAACTGGAGTCCACAACTTTTTGGTTTTCCTATTTCACATTTATTTCAACTGCACAATTTTACTTCAATCGCTTAGCCAGTCGCTTGTCGCTGAGTTTGGAATTCCTGGAATATTATGATGTGAAAAAGTGTCCTTTGCTGAACATCACAAGTCAAGTCCATGGCTCCAAGGGTTTAATAGACCCTGCTGCTTACGACGGTATTTGTCCATTAGTGTCTTCGGAAAGGCTGCGAAGTCGTCTATAGCTTCTTTAAACTGATTGTAGAGGACTAGGAAGCAAACGCAAGCATAAGCCAATTTTTACACCTGCCTCTACGTATTACCAAGGAGAAGAACGACTTGCTGAAATGAGCGGAGATGCGTGACAGAACGGAGATATGGAATGGAGCACTTATCTTTTAAATTGTAACTTTATTTTAAAGCACTCCTTAATTGCACTATTCTTATATTAGTTAGATCGATTCTATGGGAAGCTGGGTCAAGTGGATGGAGCCTCTTCAATCGTCTTCGATGTTAACTGTAGTCGAGTAGGATAATAGCCGATTTGAAAAAGCTGCGTATACAGATGTACACCATAAAGTAGTATAAACTCAAGATCTTAATCTTGCTCAAAGAGGAAAAGCCCGTAATTTAAAGAGGGACGCATAATCAAAGTTACCGAAGTGAAAAGTGCGATAGTGAAAGATTTAAAAAACTCCGTAAAGGACTGAAGATTCATAAAAAGAGATCGCATTTACTATTTTAGAAATCACACATCCTACATACAGTAAGCAACCACTTGAAGCTCCGCTTTTCCAAAAGAGTTTACTCATTGATAGGACCATTTGCGATACCAGAGTTATGAAGCAAATTATGAATAGTATTAGAAAATATTGATCATAATTGAGGTCATGCAAAATAAAATCTTCATACAATCAATTTTAAAATTGTTCTTTGAATCCTCGTTGTCTTGCATACAAAACTCATAAAATATTTGAGAAAGAATTTACTACTTTGATTTATAAATAAAGCACATTTCCTGTGCAAATCCAAGAATTATAATTTAAAAAACTCAACGATTTTTAGTGACATTAATCGCCAATTACATTTAATGAATACATTTCAAACTCTTGCTTAAAGAATAACTAAAAAAAAAAAGAGGAATATCAATCGGAAAATACACTACAAATCGAAGTCCTTAGTGAAAATTTAAAATTATTTGTACGTGGTTATGGTAGTTTGAGTCAATTTATTGAAACTATGTGTTATAGGCTCTATTGATGCCACAGGTGGAGAGATACAAATTATTTCAGCTAGTGAAGGCGTATATCGACGTAAATTCTCTAAACGAATGTGCCGTAGAAATAATATGTTCCACTCTATTCGCGTATTTTGCGAGCAGCTAACTGTAGCTGGAGACAATTTCCCGCTCTTGAAGTAAAGCACTTTCACTTTATTTACAAATAGCAATTCCTTAAATTTTAAGTCTTTAATGATTACACTTTAGTGAAGTATTGTTCCCATCCTTCTCTGGCTTGGTTCGGGTTCTTTCTTCTTCTGGCAGTACGGTGGTCGCATTTTATTTGGGTGAACTTTTCATCTAGAATGTATCGGCTTTCAAACCCGACTAATCGGACTGTGGGCGATTGCATCCGTACAACAAGAGTGGTCCACTTTAGTGTGTATTTTGCACTGCTTTCCTGAAATTCCTGTCTATTGTTAGTACGTGAAGCTTCAAAGACAAATTTAAAAATCATAAAGTAATATTACCAGCTCCACTGCAATTTGGAAATTCCGAAAGATCATAAAAATCTGCAGAAATAGCTTTTCATTGCTCCACGGAGGCAGGCAACTGGAAGTATTCGACGTTGATTGATAGTTTCCTTTAGAGTTTTTGAAATGGAAGTCTGGGGAATTATGGATGGCAACTTGAATGCTGTCTGTGTCTGACCTTAATTAGAACACAAGAGCACAATGTCTTCATCAACGATTTCCTTGGACAGCTCGTATGTCAAACCTGCAGTAACGTTTCATTTAAATATCCTTTCATCTTTTTTCTGTTTTACTCGCCTGTTTGCTCGCGTTGCAATGTCCATTTAGATGCCCATTTCTTTTAAATTCTCTGTTTTCCCTTTTGCTGCTTTTTTATAATTATTTTAATTTACTTTACTTACATTTAATCATTTACTTTCAGTATTGTTGTGGCATAAAAAGTATATCGTCTGTGTAAATTAAAATTATATCGTCCATGTCCATTCTCTTTGCTATCTTTTTTTTTGCTTACGTTTGTTTTTGTTGCCAATTTTGAAACTAGCCGATTATTCATTTGCAACGAATACTTATCGAATAGTATTTAAGCCGTTGGACCAAATTTAACCAAACGCGTTGTTCTTTTGCGATCGGTGCAGGTTTTGGAGCTATTCTTTGATTTTTGTGAGGCAATGGCAAAGCGGAACAATTATTGGACTAGGCAGACGAATTAAATTCTAGGTGCTCTGTTTTATTATTTATTTTGCAGCTAATTTGTTGGTTTGTGTGTAGCTTCTGTCTTCACATTAGTTCTTTTAGAATTCTTCGATCTTTGCTCTGTTTATATTATATTTTTTTACTATAAACTAACCGTACGGGAACGTTACTTTTTTCTAACAAATTCAATGTCTAAAACTTTTGTTAAAATCGATTCTCAATAATGGATATTCATAAATATATGGATTACATTTATTTGCAATTTACGAAGGTGTACACAGATTTTATACTTAAATATTGTTATGGAATACAAATTTCCTACTTATACCGTTTCGCTTCGAATAAACGCATCCAGACCTTATGTAGTCTTGAGTATTACAAACTTACATATGTTGGATGCTTAACGCTTTCTATTGTGGGCATAGATAAATGGAAACATGTGGCTCTATAAAATATCATTTATGTAGAAAAGCGGACGTCATTTTACTTGAATTTTTTGCCACTTTTGCGCACAGGCGCATCGACAGGAGGTGTCACATTGTTGTAGTGTTTATTTGAGATGCGGTTTATGAAAAACAGTCCCACAAATGAAAAGAGAATGCTGTGAACAAAGGAAAACCCACCATTTAACAACTATAAGCTAATGTTTATATATGTGGTTTGATGACTTACCATGTCGTGGCACACACTCGATGGACCATGCCAGATGCAGCCACGGCCAGGGACAAGCAGAAAAGTATTTCCGGTATGAACTTGGCCTGAAAGTCTTGGCCAAATATGATGGATTCCGCATTCGACAAACATGTCAGGCTGAATATAAAAATCCAAGATCCAACAAAGCCTCCTATTAGAACATGCAGCTGTGAGCCATTAAACCAATGGGCGTAGAACCGTAGTGTGGCAAAAATGACCAGGCTCAGAATGCCAGATATTATGGAGGAAACAAGCGTACTTTTACTGCTAGCCGAGGCGGCTGAAATGTAGTTCATTGTATTATCATTGTATTATTAACATTTTATTAAAACAAACGACACCTACACATCTTGTTGCTTTAAGGAGGAGTTTTTGGTGCTTATTGGCGAGTTGGCAAGGCTTTGCTGTCCAGGGCTGACAAGCACCGGCATCTCGTTTGTTTACATGCCATGTGCCATTCACACATAGACGCGCACACGTGCAGTGGTAGCGCCAATTGGTGCTACCGTTCGTTTTCTTCACTATGAGCATTCATTGTACAATTTGAGCTTTTCAGTCTATGGCGGTGAGTGTTTTCCATCGGATGTGTACGCTGGTTTGAGTGGCGGTTGCTAGTTTGCGTAATTGTGTATGTGTGTATGCGTGTGCGGGAGTAACGCTCAAAAACGGTAAATTCGCTGAAGTAACGAATACGCAGAAAATTTGAAAAGAGCTCTGGAAAACTTTAAAATATTTTTATCTTCGGGCCAAAAAATAGCAAATCATAAAAACACATATTTTATTGCTATTGCTGCGGAATTCGGTGCGCTGTGGCAATTCAAAAGTGTTTTCGACTTCTGTGTGTGTATATACATATGTGCTATTTCTACTATATTCCAATATATTTTTTTCGATTTTACAACTTGCACTCTAGCCCATAAACGACAATTGCATTTAGATTAGGCACAAACTCAGCTTGTTTAAACAAAAAGGTGGGTGCCTTTTGAATTCACAATTTTTAAAATGTACTTTACCACGCCTTAGCTATTAAGGAGAGAAAAACCCAACAATTGCGCACCCGTTTGACATTATGGCTATTCCACTAACGTTTTTGTTGTTGGTGCTGCGGCTGATGCTGCTGCATTTCCCAGGCCAAAAACAAGTGTCGCATTGCCAGTTATAGACGAAGATATCGAATACCAATGTCGTCTATGGCTCCTGCAGCAACCTAAGCGCCTTTTGGTTGTTGTTGGTGCCATGTTAGCTGCTTTTTATCGATTTAACAAGTGAAGAAAAGTCGTTGGACTCTTGCCTGTTCGCTCTATATAAGTGTGAGGCAAAAATTCACATGCCTTAGCAAATAATAGACATAAATGGTCATTGAGTTGAGTTCAAGCTCAAGTTCAGCTATTAAACGAACTGTTTACCATTTATAATTAATTTGCTGTTTTCCTAACATACTATATTTGTAGATTATAGGGTGATTTTTAGTAGTTTGGTTTAAAATTCAGTGAAGCAGACAGGTTGGCACTTAAAATAAAATAAATTTTACGAGTTCAAGAAATATGCAGATAATTAAGCGTTTTACTTGCTTTTGCTTATACTAAATATTAGGTAACCAGTATTTTTAAATACAATTTAAATTCCTTATCGTACCCAATTGTATTTAATAAAATCACCCTATATGTTTTGACCGGTGCGGCGCTTTTCAATTAGGTCAACGCTTGTGTCTATAATTAAATTTCATTTTTATTATGTCATTATTCAGATCTAATGAGATTTTTCTATGCAGATTGTGCAAACTTTTACAAACAATACCTATATAGTTGTACAGTGAGAGGCATTGAGTTTTTCAAGCGTGAGCTAATGCCGATGAGTTTTCTTTTGTATTGTAGCGTATTTATTTCACCGTTTGCATCTTTCAACAATTACATTTACACTTCATTTAGCTGTGCGGGCATGTTGAATTATTTAGTTAGCACTTTCATTTCATTTACAGCAGCAATTATCAATTGTAAGATGCTAGTGTATGGCAGTATATTTAGCTTTTTAACACATGTTGAGAGTTGCTTGCCCAAACAAACATAAGCAATTGTAAATAAATATGCTAGATCCATTCATCAAAAACATACATACATGTATGTGGCTTAACATTTGAACAGAAATAGTTTTCAGGCTTTCCCTAGACCCAGTATTTTTCTTCAAAGTATTCTCACTGTCTGATTTGTGAATTTATGGATGCAATGAAGGCTCGACATTAGTCAATAGATACATTATATATCAACGATGATTTTACTGTAATAATCAGCTGAGGAGATGATTGTTCCGATTCTTTAAGATTCTCAACTCAAGTGACTTAGCTGACGAGCAGTTGATTCAAACAATAAGTTGTAGCCTTTCTTCATGAATGACAAACTTTTTTCCTCTCCACATTGGAATATAGAATTTAACTAGCATCAACAATTACCGTTAAGTCCTTAACTTGAACCGGTTTACGCAATTATTTGAATAGTTCTATGTAAGGTTTAATTTCTTAAAATCGGTAGGATAAATTTGTACGTACATATGTATATGTACATCTGTAATAAATGCAATATCTTGATTTATTACATTAAAACAAAGGATCTTAACTTAATAATTGAACATGAAATAATTTATTTATTTAATATATATTAACGTTTCTTCTTCAGAAAAGATATCATTACTTTCATTCCCTGTGGTTAATATTTTTCACACACCCATCAAAAGTTAAAAATTCCAACCTTCTTATTTATATCGCAATATGGGACAAAACCCAAGTGTTATTCTTATTGAACGTTCAAAATCTTCGGAGCTACTACCACCAGTTATCCATTTGACATTATCGAAGCATTTCTCCGGAACTTTGGACATTGTACTATGTATTTATAAATTCTTGCCATCCAACAAGAACAAATTGACGAATCAATCTTCTTCTGTCATATATGTATTATCTTAATTGTTATGCAAAGCTGTTGGTTCCTCAAGTTAGTAGTTCCTCGAGTTAGTAGGATATGGCGTCCTGCTTCGACCTATCTAAATCGGTTTTGCTAAATTATGGCTTTGTAGACAGTTTTTAGGGTTCATCTCTAGTTTACAGAAAAGCATTAGGGTATTATTTTATAATCACGTGCATATACCTTTATCTGTTCTTAATAATTTTTTGTTAAATAATATCAAAGTATAGGTAAGCTACTTAAAGAACACGCCTCGCACATACTTATGTACATATATATATGTACATTTTTGTGTTTAATAATTTGTTTTTCATGCTGCAAAGCATTTCTGAATATTTTCCAAGTCTTGTCAAATTTCTCCTTTTAAAAATATTTGCAGTCATGCATTTTTTCATTCGCTGCACAATTTGTCATGTGTCTGTATTTGATGTTTTCGGTCGTATATTTGGAATTTTATGTTGAGTTGTTCGGCAAGTGGGCGTCTAGTTTTACAACTTTTGGTTACATCAATGGATAAAATGTTCGAACTGGTTTGTAAGGTGTACACTGTACATAGATGTATACTCGTATGTGTACATGCATGCCCATGCACGCTGATAATGAACCATACTGGAGAAAATTGGAGCCACCCATATGAAGATGCATTAGGTATACCAAATCATATTGGTCATGGTCCAAAAAGCGTGCTAACGAATTCAATTGTGCCTGAAAGCCAAGCACAAGACCACAAAAAGCAAAGACATGTAGTTGTTGCTGATAATGATGTTGTAATGATGACGTTAAAGGCAGACACGATTCTATTAACAACAATTGAAATTCAAGAAAACAAGGCCAACGAAATACAACAAAAAATAGAAGGCATGCGAACAAATTAAAGCAACATACATACATACTATGTATGTACATATATGTAGTACATGCCTAAGAAAAGTGCACAGAAACACATACAAATGCATTTGCAGACATATGCACATATGTATGTACATATGTATATACATAGTATATACGTAACTTTGTGATACATCTGTGTATAACACACATATCTAAACATGTACATTTTTGCATTTCTGCTGCCCTGCTTTAATTGTATTATCCACGGAATCTTATCCACCCGGCGAATGGGAACAAGAACGCACTCGCTTTCGAATTTTTCTCGAACAAAACATTGTTCCAAATAAATTCGAAAAATTAACTATTGCACTCTAAAATGTGTAAGACTCCTTTTAGTTTATTTATGTTGAATGCGAAAAGTTATACATTGGCTTAAACTTTAAACATGTGTTTATGTGTGAAAAGTATTATTCAAAATTTATATCTGAGAATAACAACTTTAGTTGTATTTTATTTTTGAATTATTTACTTCAATATTTTAAGTACACACTTAAAGGGAAAAGGATATCAAATTATGAAATAAAATTTAAGCTTTTCCACATAAATTTTTTTGTTTATTTCAAATTATTTTTATTAGAAGTTCTAGTTTACTATTGAATGGTATAAGAGTACTTATATCTTTGCAGTCATCTCATAATGAATTTCAACTTTTAGAAATACATTTTATAATGTAATTAACAGGAACTCCCTCGATTAGTATTAATATAATCATCCTAGTTACTAATTACTAATTTATTGGTAAAGGAACACTAACATATTAAGACAATTTAATGTAAGGATTATATAGTTGTGAATCAAATTTTCAGTATTGTTAACATTTGAATAACTCATAATCATAACATATTGTTGAAATATTTATCACAACACACATTAAATGTGTAAATTTGTAATATAATTATCATTATTTACTTGTATATACACGTCGTAATATTTATTGACCTCTAGGTTGAAATTGTTAGTTTTGTATCAGTCTTGTAATTTTATAATCGCATAATTATAGACTCTAAAATTGTCTGTGTGTAGCGTGTTCGAATTGTATTTAAGATGTTGAGAGACAAATTCTTTCTTAATATTCATAATTTTTGCATTCCAAAGCTCTGGAACATGCTTTCAACGGTTCATAAGCGAGTTTAATTCACAATTTAATTCGAAAATTTGTGAAATAGCTGAAGTGGAAGAACTGAAATACAAATTCTAGCACAGATATACTAATGGTCTACTTTTGAGTGTAGCATATACCTATTTATGTAGCTGATGGATACGCATTTGTTACCCAAAAACTAGCGCAATGACATCCGAATGCGTTCATTCAGAGTGCCAACAGGCCAGAGACATAAAAACACAGACATAAGCCGCTCAGGCGGACATGCTTGGTTAGTCGCTCTTTGGACGTCGGACGTCGGTCGACGGTCGGTGGTTGGGTTGACACAAAATTCAATTTTCTGAATTACAAACAATCACATTTACGGGCATAGCTGCCTCCCCCAAATGCAAGGCGACTGCTCGTTTTTATTGAGTGTATGGTCGTTTAACACTTTTAGTCGCGGCTTTGAATGGCGTGCGAAATCGATTGTGTTGATGCCGATTTCAGGTTAAGTTATCCCTTTGATACGGGGAATCAGTACCAAATGAAATCGCGTCACAGTTCCGCCTACGGTTTTATCAATTACTTGCAGGGTTTTTTTCATTATTTCTTCGTTACGTGTTAAATATTTTGCCTTTGCTTCCAGTTCGCAGTTTTGAACATTATGGTGTAACAATATATTAAGAACACAAACTTTCATCAACTTGAACCTAAGACAAACTGCACACCAAGTTTTCTCATACTCTTCAAGAATAAAGCGTTCATACAGACAGACTCTGCAATACCCTGAAGCAGAACAAGTTTGTACGTATATCTGTGAGAATATCAGAAATGATAGAAGTTGAAAAATCCGCAACACCTTCATTAATAAGCAGACAAGGGCTTCAAATATTCACTTTCCACTTTACTTTCCACCAACAACTTGTTGGTCCTCTATTCATTCTTTTAATTATGGATGATAGAAGATCTACTCTACTAAGAGCAACTTTGTTGCGATATTATTGCCTTTGTCGAGTTCTTTTCCGGTTCTTCAATTTAATCGTTTTATTTTGGTTTCCGGTTTATGGAAATCTGCTTGAGTACAAGTATTTTTATGACATAGTACTTCAAATCCTAATGCATATCGACCCAGCAATAGCAACAACAACAACAAAGGGTTATGTACTGGCAGTTGTATTTTTCTTTGCCTAGCACAATTTTAGCTTCTTAGCCCAACTTCCAGTCCAAATGCTGTCGGTACGGGGCAAGTACTAAAACAACAACAACAACAGGCTAGAGGCAACGTCGATATGCTTGCCACATAAGTCCCCTTCTGCCCCTTCCCCTAGCAATAAAGCGCAGAGCGAGGCGCCCTAGCGGCACTTGTGAGTGAGAGGGCCTAAAAAGTTCAATGGCCGCTTGAATGTTGGCCATAAGTTGTTGGCAGTAGTTTTTTTTAGTTCTTTTTTTTGTTGTAAAGCCGCATTATTGTGTGTAATTTATGTGTAGCGCTTGAGCACCGACTGTGAAAGTTGTTGTTGCTGTTGTTGTTGTTGCATCGAAGGAGCCCAACTCGCGACAAGAACAGCAACAACTACACAGCCATGCGAATGACATTTTCCGGCTTTGCCGTAATTGTTGTTGTTGTGTTGCTGTTGTTATTGTTGGTCTTGTTGTTGTTGCGTTGGGGGTCATGGCATCATCATCAACATCGTCATCATCGTCGTCGTCATCTTTAATAACATGAGGCAGTGGCACGAACTAACGCCCTTCTATATCGTGCGCGGAGCAAGTGGCGGTGTGAGTTGGCGGCCAGACCGTCTTTTATTACGTATGGATTTTCTATGATATTTTCCACTGACGTCATCATTATCTACATTCGTCTCTCGTGCATATTCGCACACACACATACACACACACACAAGCACCTATAGTATTTGTATATGTATTGTATTCACACCCGCCAAAGTTGGCTAAACAAAAACAATGTGAATGGTGCGCGCTCTTCAGCTTTATTTTGTTGTTGCTGGTGGTGCGCTCCAGTTTGTATGCCCATAGCTGCCACCTCTGCCACTGCCACTGCCGCCGCACTTAACGAGGTGTAGACAGACAATCACACACACACACACACACATACTCATATACACATGTATGTATATAGTATATAAACAATGCAGATAATAGAGATGCACATGTAGGTGATCTTGTTAAGTGCCACTGCCTCCCAATTCCACTTGAATGAATTAGGGCTGCAAACTGAATCGAGGCTGAAGGTTTCGCACGAACAGTTTTGAGGATCTTTCAAACCCTTGAAACGGCATGTATGTACATATAGTTGTGAATGAATGATCTGATCTAGAGGATCTTTTTTTGGGCTTTACAGCAATCTCATTGAGCACTAAAATATTGTATGAAGAAATATAATATATAATTATATATATTATATATATATATATATTATATATATATATATATATATATATATATATATATATATATATATATATATATATATATATATATATATATATATATATATATATATATATATATATATATATATATATATATATATATATAATATGCACATAAGTTCGTAAAAATTTAAATGATATGTATCAGTAAATGATTAAATAAGTATTCTAGATATTGATGATATTAAATGAATAATATAAAAAAAAGGGGATAAATAATATATTCATATTGTACTTGTATGTACGTATTAACCAAACCATTAAACTTGTAGAGGGTCTTTTACGATTTGCAAAATGATTTTTGGTGAAGCTAAATGGGGCTATATACATATGTACATACATAAATAATAACTTTTTGTTATATATTAACATATAGTATATATACTATATATCATAAAATATTCTAAAGGAAAGCTCTATTCAAAGATTTCTCGAAATTGAAATCTATAATTTGTGAAATGCTTGGACCTTCCGTTCGAATGCCAACCACTTTTAAAAATTCATGTTCATCCCGCTTTTTTAATAACAATATTGTAATCAAAATCTGTGCTTATGCCCTGTTAATTCCTCACATTTTTAAAATGTTATTTCAGGATAAACTTTATTACTTTTAAGCTGAAATTAAATTCAGAAATATTTATTCAAATTATATTTTCTTTCTCTGCTGATTCATTATAGCGCTGTCTGATCGTCGTAGATTCATTCATGCCCATTCAATCACTCATCAGAACTCAGCCGCTGACTATTTAAACGTTCTCTTTTATTATTCATTTGCTCTCACGCTCGGAAAATTAAATTGCATTAAGAACGCGACTTAATTGACTGCCCGTCAGCCTAAATAGCGTTTAATTTTCTATAATTTTTCACACGACTCTGCAGCTAAAATGTGAATGAATCATTTGAGGGTTTTGTTGTGGTCGGTCCTCCATGTATTATAAATATTTGTTGTGTTTGTACGAATATGTAGAAATGCCCATCACTCTGAATGAAGGCAAATGGAACAAACCGAAATACGTCCGCACATTCCTATAAATAAAACAGACAACCGAACCTCGCACCATACTTAGAGAGACCATACAGGAAATGAATGCGCCATATATGTGGTTGGGCGGTATATAGTGTTTGGACTGTCTGTATGTGAAGCTATATTTGTGCTGAACATTTTGTGCCTTAAAGCTGCAGAGCCACCCACCCTGATGGCTAAAACAAATGTCTATCAGCTGCACTTCTCTGATATGCTAAGCACGACATTAATGCATTTGATGTATTAGGTTTCTTTTCTAAGTCAGCTTTAAATCCGAAAATGTCAAACATTTTCACGTTTCACCAAAACTTGAATGATAAAGGCGACGCATAAATTCCATATACTACGAGCATATACTCGTACGCCTATAAAGTACTTAAGCATTTTATCATAATACACCATACTTATATGTACGTGTGCCCTGCCTTTTGAAGCCTGGGGGCTCCAGGCGGCATTTGGACAGCGAATTGTGTGTTGCGGTCGTTTGTTTTGATTTTGGGGTTGTTACACACACACACACACACACCCATTTCCATTCACACTCATTCGCAAAGGTACTTCTAGGCAGACCCAGACCCAGACTCAGACACTGACAAGTCTAATGTGCAGCACGTGTCTCGCCGCAGTCTCGGGTGCATCTCAACCCCCAATGGAGGGAAACTTTCTACCGATTGTCACAGTACAGAACCCACATTCTCACCACTTTCAAACTGCGCGCATGACTCACCAGCGGTGGCATCATCATGATGGAAAAGCTTGGGTGGTTAGCTACTGTGTGGGTTGCGCTTCGAGGGGGTTGCAGCGCAAGGGAGGATTCCAAATATGTATCTGGGCTAAGCGAATTTATGGCCGTTTGTAGAAGTGCATTTGAATCATGGGCTTATTAATATTTAATCGTTTCAGATTAAGGCAATAGAAATGTGATAGCGTGTGTCTTATAATAATACGAAGATTCAATGTAATAATAATGTATTATCCTGGCAATTGCTCTCTTTAACCAGCACTCTACTTAAACGAATGCAGACATTTTGCCTTATGTTTAAGTGTATTTCCCCAAATACTGAACGTTAACAATCGTCAAATTTCAGATACAAAACATTTATGGCATCTTAAATAAGAGTGCAATGTATGAAAAATGAATACAAGTTTAAAAATCGGCTGTCCATAAATGATTTACTGTTTGATTATTAGTAGCATTAGTTTAAAAATTTGCGATTACAAACATTTAATAGCTTTTTTTGCCTCATTGCGATAACGTAGTCCAATAATAGCTAAGTTATCACATCATATTCTGCTATTTTTGGCACTACTTGGACTGTCGTCTTCCTTTGTTAAACCACGATAGTGTTTTTCTTATTTGTAACCAGGAAATCTATGTTTCCTGGACAATCCAAAAAGTTCTTAAAAAAACAAACAAAAAGGTTTCCATTTTATTTAAATGCCAAAGATCTTTAACTTGTAAAGATCCTTTAAATTTAGGCAATCTTTTCGAACGGAAAATGCAATCCATTGATTGAAAGGCAATCTATAATCACAATTGATTTGTAAAGTCAACCATATTAATCAATGAATCCTATTAGAGAGGCAGATACATTCTTGTACATTGATTATTTTGGAAAATAAATAGAACGGTAAAAGTTTTGTTTACGAAATCAACTCGAAATGACTGTTATAGCTTTATCAATAGTTTAGATCATTTTGCAATGTCCGATAAAACCATGACAATTATTTTATTAAAATCCCTGAGAATCTGAAACTGTAGAGCTGAGTCTTGAATTGGATAGGCTTATAGTGTATATCGGACTAGTTTATTTAGTTTATAATGTGATTTCTGTGCATTCATTTTGATTTGCAGCTAGAAGTCTCGTATATTCTTTTAGCAAGCAACACTTTTGTGTAATTCTCAAGACTCTGACAGCATTCCATACATACAATCGGGGGCAAGGTTACATGTTTCGGAGCTTTTACATTACGGGTATTCTTACTTATGGGTTTTATTAAGCATGTGCTAAGAAATGCTTTAGGAGTTCTTAAGCAAGTTAACTTTATGTTGAGTGAGGTGCTGCCCCTTCATTTATCAATTGTTTATTTTCGCTGTCTTGCGATAACCTTATCGCTGTCCAATAAACCTATACATAAATTATGGAACCCAGGGTCTTGAAACTAACTACGTAACGCGTACTATCAGTTGCTCCCTTGCACTATTATCAACACCCGGCTATAAGCCAACGAACAAATGAAAGGCGTGCTGGCTTGCGATTGTGATTGACAAATATTTGGAAACCTTTTACTTTCAGTTGCGAATCCAAATAACGAGGCAAGATGTCGACGAGCCCCAAGCCGGTGAAGAAAGTGCCGATACACCTGCAGAGCGCTCAGAATCGTGTCTATATAAAAAACGGTGAAATAGTCAATCATGACAAGTCCTTCAAGGCCGATGTCTACATTGAGGATGGCATTATCAAGTGAGTGGGCAAATATTTATTAAAACCGAGCCGTGTCGATTAAGATTATTATTTACAGATTCGTTGGCCCCCCCTCGGAGATTACTATACCAGGTGGCGTGCGGATAATTGATGCGGCTGGTCGACTCATTATACCCGGCGGTATAGATCCCCACACTCATATGCAGTTGCCTTTTGGTGGTGCGGTGGCTGTCGATGACTTCTATCATGGCACTAAGGCGGCTATTGCCGGCGGAACTACCATGATAAGTGAGTCCAAACTGATAACTCCTGTTACGTTATTTAGTATCCTGTAATCAATGTAATTTCCTCTCTAGTCGACTTTGTGTTGCCCAACAAACATGAATCGATGATCGAGGCCTATGATAAGTGGCGTAGCTGGGCCGATCCCAAGGTCTGCTGCGATTACGGCCTGCATGTGGGCATTACTTGGTGGTCCAAATCGGTATCCGAGGAAATCGGCATCCTGTGCAAGGAGCTGGGCGTGAATTCCTTCAAAACTTTTATGGCCTATAAGGGACTATATCAGTTAAATGACGCCGATCTCTTGGATGTATTCGAGCGCATTAGGAGCTTGAATGCTGTGGCTATGGTGCGATATTTGAAGCTTTGTTTCTTATACTAGAGATTTCATCTTTCACATAATCAGGTGCATGCCGAAAATGGAGACATTATAGCCAAGAATACGCAGCGTTTGCTGGCCGAGGGCATTACTGGACCCGAAGGTCACGAATTGTCGCGCCAGGAGGAAGTGGAGGCCGAGGCTGTGCATCGCGCCTGTATTTTAGCTCATCAGGTGAGTGCAGCTCAGATGTTTGTTTAAGACATGGGTAGAGGCATTTGAATGATATACATACTTACATATGTTCATAAATCGAGGGTGATAGTTACTTTGGGGAATTTCTACTATCGAATATTTTACAGTGCACGCTCAATAATTAAAGAGAGTAATTAATTATTAGAGAGTAATAATTAATTTTTCTTATAACAGACTTACATAAATGCTAAAGAATCTTTGTCCGAATGGATTCATCCTTTTTTGTTGATAAGATACATCGTTTTTATTTTGGGATACGTAGTTATATTGATTGAAGGCACTGAAGATTCTCTGTATTATAAGCAAAGCGTATATTTTAATGCTACGAACAGTTTGATAGCATTATGGCGATTTCAAACTAAATGGCAACTGAACGCCTTTCAATAGAACAAGTTAGGCTGCCGAAAAATAAGTAGTTCCCGTGTCTTCTAGGCAGACTAACAGATTAACATTTTATCAGTAACTCCTGAGACGTAGACTTTCCCGAAAGTGGAATGTCAAACTAGAAAAGTTTATATTAATGGGCTTGGCCAGCTCTAGACAGGGAACCCAACGACATATCTGAACACAACCTTTCAGATTTTCACTTTTAATTACTTTATTTATTTAAAAGAATATTAAAGAAATAAAAAAGCCTATAGAAATGACAAAAATATCTAATAACGAATCCGACACGGTGGGGGAGTTTTATTTTAAATACTTAAATAATAAGAGATAAAATATTATTAAAAATTAAACGTGGAGAATCACTGACCCGTTGGAGGAAAATCTATCTATTATCTAAGTACATATCATTAATTTATGATTAGGCCTCGTGATTTCTTATTTATGATTTTCATTTCTTACTATTTTCATTCTGTATGTGGCATTTTGAATGCAACTGAATGCGGTATTTGGCACACAAATATGTTGTATTACACAAATTTCGACCACTGTACATACCCCAACAAACACGATTACTGTAATTACCAATTAGGTTAATTGTCCACTATATGTGGTCCATGTTATGAGCAAATCGGCGGGCATTGAAGTGGCCCGAGCCCGTCAACGCTATCGTGGTCGCTTCATAATGGGCGAGACTTTGGCGGCAGCACTGGGAACCGATGGGACCCATTACCGTTGCCAGCACTTCGATCATGCGGCAGCCCATGTGCTGAGCCCCCCTCTCAGACCCGATAAGACGACGCCCGAGTTTTTGATGAAACTGCTGGCTAAGTAAGTTGTGTGTGTGCGGGACCAGGATCTTAATCATAGAATACTTTTTGTAATGCTTACTAACAATATTGGAGTTGGTTCTCTCTACTAACTGCTCGCTACATAATTGATTAAGTGCGCGCCTAATTGAAGATTTGAATAATATCTCTACATATGTATGTTTGTTCGTTTGTTCATGCTTCACTCACACCTCCTTGCAACCTCCATCCACCCCTCTATTCACCCATTCACCCAATCAACCACACGTACGCAACTGATGCGGGACTAGATGAAGACACCTCTCTATGTCTCCGGTCTAACGAGCAAGTCCTCCGCTGAGCTCGTGGGTCGGGCCCGTCGAAGTGGTTATTGCGTGTTTGGAGAGACGTTGGTTGGATCCCTGGGACGCAGCATGAATGGCGTGCGAATGGCAGATCGCATTTACTATGTCACCAGTCCTCCGATTCGCGAATCAGCGGAAACGCCCAGGCAGCTAATGAAATCGCTGGCCTAGTAAGTATTCGTATTCATTGAAGAGTCATGTCGGCCAAGTTCTAATTTCGACCCAATGGACTAAATCGCTCTTTTATTTTGCACATTTTGTTGACTCTTCAGAAAAATGGGAACTTGAAAAATGTTCAAAATATTAAAGCGACTTTTTGGACCGACATAAGGACCGAACCGTCACCGTTCTAATTCATAAACACATAACTTCGCTGGGTTTTCACCTACTTGTGCTTTTGTTTTTGGGTTTATATTTTGATGTTCCTTTATTTAATTTAATACATGAGAGTCATTCATTATATGGATACTAATCTAACAATTATTTACCACATGAATAGCGATGACTTGCAGTTAACGGGTAGCGACAATTGCACCTTCAACAAGGAGCACAAGGCTAAGGGCTTGAACGACTTCACCAAAATCCCCAACGGCGTGAATGGGGTCGAGGATCGCATGTCGCTGGTGTGGGAGAAGGGCGTGCATGCCGGCCTGCTCGATCCTTGCCGTTTTGTGGCTGTGACCAGCACCAATGCAGCCAAGATTTTCAATATCTATCCACAAAAAGGAAGAATTGGTAAACAAATTTCCCATTTCATCTTACAACAGAAACACCTCATTATGATAAGAAGTTGCGTTTAATGATGCTTAAAATGTTTAAAAATCCTGTACCTCAAGGTTAAAAATTATATTCGATTTATATAAATGCATATGACAGACAGTTTATAGTTTCTTGCCCGGTCGTCCCTTCATCCGTCTGTCTGTATGAACGCTTGAGTTTTAGAAATGGCTATACATATAATGAGTAAACTTGCTATACAACTCCTTCTCACCTTTAGGCAACACGAGTTTATTTTGTGTTGTATATTATTTTTGAGTTACATATGATAATAGACAATATAAGTATACGAGTATTCTTGCCCCTACGTGCCTTCTTCCGTCTGTCTGTATGAACGCTTGAGTTTTAGAAATGGCTATACTTATATTGACTAAACTTGCTAGATAGCTCCTTCTCACCTTTAGGCAAAACGAGTTTATTTTGCGTTTTGATCTCCCCGTACATATATCCTTCAACACTGTCTACAATTCCAATATAGCGATAATCCCTTGGGCCCTTGGGGTGTTCTTTGAAAAACGTGTTTCAAAGTTTATTTCAATACCACATGTGTTCGATCGATGTTCGATAATTATATATTGTACCCAAATTTTGTTAGCTGTTGGCTCCGATGCCGATGTGGTCATTTGGAATCCAAACGCCACGCGTACTATTTCCAAGGATACGCATCACCAGGCGTGCGACTTCAACATTTTTGAGGGCATGACTGTGCACGGTGTGCCCGAATTTGTGCTCGTTCATGGTCGGATTTGTGTGGAGAATGGCTTGGTGCGAGTGGCCGAGGGATTTGGGCGCTTCGTACCCACGCCCGTGCGTCCTCCTTTTGTCTACGACATTATTGAGGGCAAGGTAAAGCCAACTGCTGACGAACAGCACGAGGAGAAAATGAATGGGAATATGGCCAAGAAGTTTGCCGAACTGGACATACAAATACCGCCAGAGGAGCCCATATTTGACGGCAACTTAGCGGGTCCCGCAATTTCACCAACTTCCACCCACACGATGCTTGGCCGTGTCGATGGTAAACGAGATATGCAGGAGTCTAGCTTCTCCATTAGCGGTAAATATCCAAATACATACTAAAAACATATATACGTATTTCAAACTCGTTCGTTCGCTTTGCAGAGGAGCTGGACAGATCGAGCGTGCGTGCATGCATTAGAGTCAAGAACCCACCTGGGGGAAAATCCAGCGGTTTTTGGTAAAAACCACCTTTGATCTGGATACTGGAACTTTGACGCGCTCAAATCGCACAAACGCGGAGGCTCTAGGGTCATTTCAAATTGGCATTTAACATTTAAGTTCTGCAACAAAACCAATACTAAACCAAATCGAATCAAACTAGAACTTAACAACATAATTATAACATCATAATTGTATGGAATGCTTATATACTGAATCGGTGTGAACGTAATTATTATCATAAATACATATGTAAAGCCTTAACCTGACCTATTTACGCTTGGTTTAATCATATTTTCACCATACATTTTTAATCTTACTCCCTAATATTAAAAGATACCCCAAATAATGGAAGTAATAAATAATTTTTCGCTTAGTTCTTAATAATGTCTTAATTCCGTTTAAATATATTGCTTTAAACCGGCAATGGTGAAAATTCGTTATAATTTATCAGAAAGTTGTTATGATTTCCAATATCCCCTTACATTTAACTTGTTTGGAGGGCTTATAAACTTTAATATGCGAAAAGATTGCAGTAATTGTTTGAATAGTTTAAGATGCCTTGATAAATTCATTTACATAATTGTAATTCTCATGAAAATTGTTTATTGATAATTATTTAGCGCAATTTATACAGCATCTTCTATAATATTTATATATACATATAATAAAATATGTGTACCACTCGTACTATATGTCTAATTATGCATTTTTATTTACTATAACAAGCCATCAAAAATAATGAGATCCTCACCCAGATGTCAGAATGATGTTAGTACCCGAATATTGCCATATTTAGCTTGAATGATTAACAGCCTGGCATAAAGGTTTGTAAATCTAAAAACGAACGCCTAAAAAAGGTCATTCTAACTGCCACTAGAAGCTGCCTTACTCATTATCTGGTTGATTTTTATAAGTTTTCTACATCCAGATATGTATAAACCTCAGGTAAGAGTTTCATTTCATTAAATACGAATCTCCGAGATGTATTTATACTTTAAAATAAATCTGAATAGATAGTCTGACCAACGTTACGACATTCATTTGTGATCTTAAGATAAGTTTAGTAATATATTAGCCATGAACGTTCTAGAAGGACGTGTAGGTGCTATCAGCCCTCAAGCAGTTAATGGGACGGCTGAACAACAGATAACATCTGTTGAAAGATAGGCCACAAAAGTATAACATTAATTTTCTTAGTTTTCGGTGAAATATTTCCATACAGTACTGAACAAAAATTCTATTCACAAAGAATATAAATTGGCAAAAAATTAATTTCCACTCAAATTTCTGACTCAATTCCAATAGGCCATTATAGTATAATCAAATAGATTAACTTCATTTAAAAACCTTATTTGTCATTCATAATACTGTTTCACAAAAATAATCGAAAAATTTAATGAACTTGTCAAATGATTTGCCTGTCTGACCGTAGCTTTATTTTTGGGCCAATTAATTGCTCCTTACATGATACGTATCCTGCCTCAATAATTAATCTCTCTCTTAAATAAATATCTCTCGTTCAGTTTGGTTTAAAAGTAGTATGTACTCTTTATTCAAAAAAGTCCCATGTAATGATTGACCAACTATGCACAATTGAGTGGTATATATTTATATTTGTATAAACTGAATACATAATAATACATAGATATTTATGATGAATAATTACAATTCTTTATTAACATTTTGCAGTGTCGGCGAAGCCGGCCATTTTACTTTATGGCACAGGCTCGACAAATTGCAAATGAAATACAATAATGATTTAAATATTTAATTTTCGTTAAATATCCTCAGAGGTAAAATACAGTATTTGTTGTTGTTTTTTTTTTTTACTGTTACTGTTTCAACTACTTACACGTGGATTCAATTTTCCATTTGATAAAAATTAATAATAGCATACACATAAACAAACTTATTAACTGAAACTGATATAAATTAACTGTATATGGTGCTTTGGGTAAATGAGAAATAGACGGCAAAGATACTTTTGCTGCTGATTACTACATATTATCCATTACATTTTCTTTTGCATTTGCAGAAGCACTACAAATCATTCGTAATGTGACTTAAAATGTGAGCTTATTAACTAAATTTTAAAATTAATCGTAATGACAATTTATGGTTTTGCGCTTCTTGGGCGATCGGTGACTGTTGGTTGCTAGAGTAGGAATGCAATACGTGCCGCTGCACGCTGATGCGATGAAATGAACGCTGCAAGCACAAAGATTATCCGATATTAATTTGAATAGTGAACAACAGATTGGATTTATATTACCACATCAACGCTTGCTTAGAGCTTCTTCAAATAGGCGGCACATTTGACAGCACTGCTCACTTGCCCCGTGTTGAGTAAACTTAATTTCTTGTGCTTAGCGCGGAACTTCCTAACGTAAGCGTCGATCAAGTTTTTGATTTTGTGTGGATTGATTTCACCAGAGCGACTGTGACAAATCTGCACATGTGGATGAAGAGGTAGGTATTATGGAATCAGATTAGGACGAAGAATGCATTACTCGTATATTCGAACTCACTTTTGGCACAGCACGCCGCATAATGTCCTTATAATCCTCCTTGGTGATCACTTTCTTATTAAAATGTGGTTTCAGCACTAATTTCACTTCTTCAACAACGCGCTCCTGACGATTTAGCTTGCGCAAGAACTGGAAGTATTTCAAAATTCCATATAACTCCAACTTCAATAAGTACTTTCCAGCCACTTACCTTGTCCTTCACCTGTAAATCAACTGCCGAATTGGGCAGATCGTCATATGCCTCTCCGGATTTGCCAACTGTGGAAATGAAATTACATTTTGTTATAAACATTTCTACTAACAAAAATGTTAATCTACTTGGTTTGCTTGAAAAATGGCAATTCGGCAATAAGATTATCAACTTATTGTTAATAATTCGGAATATATTATCCGAATGTTTTGATTGAGATTTCAAAATTATTACAAGTAACTAAAAATATTTGTGAGCATGATTCATTTTAGCCAGCAATAAATAATCAATTGAAAATGTATTTGAAATGCTCCACAGAATTATGGAACGAGCACATAGTTAAAAAACGTCTTAAATTCGTTAAAATCAATGAAAATAAAAAAAAAATTTGAATAAATATTTGTGAGTTTGGCATTTTTGTGTCGATTTAACACAGAAATCTACTTAGGTGTGTATATAGAATTGATCGGAGCAGTTAACACATCTTATTTATAGATATTTATATAATCACACAATCATCATCAGATTAAACCCACCTTTGCCTCTTGCTCGGCGTTCGTTTTTGTTTGTTCGCTGACGCTTGTAGCGCGGGTTAACGCGGATTTGCCCCACAGGCGAACTGCTGCCAAAGAGATTGTCGAACATTTCGGTTTTGCCACTGCCAGCCTTGGCACGTCTTCCGAGGCTCTCCGGCGGCGGCTCGAAGAGATCTTCATAGTCTGCCGAGCCGGGTGAGTAGGGACTATCGAGTTCCAAGTTGAAAGCGTCCTCCATGCCGCTGGACACCACAGCACCACTACTGCCATTTCGCATTGCCCCACTAGAAGGAGGCAGGTTACCCATTCCGCTGCTGCTGCTGGCGACGCTGCCGCCGCCAGCCTTTGACAACTTCTTGACCAAAGTCGATGGTGGCGTGGGACTAGATATGACCGGTATATGCTGCGAGCCACTCCCCGTAGATAGCAGCACATTGGAGAGCACTGTTATTGCATTGCCGCCATCGTCGCTTTTATCCTCTGATCCTCCAGGGGCATTGGAGCTATTTACAGCATTGTTGTTCAAATATTGCGATGAGTTGTCACACGATTTGCTGCCCAAGTCCTGCTGCTGATTCGATACACTGCTATTGCTGGGCTTATTCATTAATGCCATCACTAAGTCGACGGGATTAATGGCAGAGTTGTTTGGGTTCGTCTGCGTGACCCCACTGTTGGCGCCTGACGTAACGATTGGCGTGCTGTTGCTGGCATTGGTCAGCTCATCACCAGGTAATTGATCGACTTCCATGCCGGCTCCAACCTTGTCATCTGTGCTCGGCGCTACTCCGTCTTCCATGCTCTTTGTTGGTGTTGGGGAGCGGGGCGACAGTGATGGGGACTTGGTTGGCTCGAAGGGATCGTAGGCATCGGGCGAGCAGGGACCTGATTCAGGCGGCGTATTCGGGCCAATCTTCTGCGTTGGCTCATGCTGCGCAGGCTGCTCATCTTCCACGGATCGCATTGCCGAGTGGACCGCATGCGCGGCCTCCAGCTCATCGGCGGAATTGATGTCGTCGGCCTCATCGTGCAGGGGGTTATTGCGCACTTTGTGCAGTTTCTTGGCGGGTAAATTGAACTTGACCATTGGTGGTTCTGGTGGCGTCTTTGGACCGGTTGTCGTCTGTGGCAGATTCTCATAGGAAGTTTCCATGATGGTCTCCAGACTGTCGACCTGCGGCGTCTTGTCGCGCTGGCCATGCTCGCGCTCGGCCACACGTCCATCATGGACATCCGCGATGGAAGAGACACTGCCACGACTGCGTCTTTCACGTCGCATTGACAAGGACATTTGGTTCTCATTGGTATCCTCGCTGTCGGTGAGGACAATCACATCGGCTGGTTCTTGATGCACCTGGAAGGGCGATCGTTCCAAATCTATAATGGCCACAGGCTTCGCCTCCAGCTTTTTCCGCTTGCGTAACTTGTCCTTTTTGGAACGCTTGTGCGTGCCGGCACTGGCGTTCGTCAGACTCAAACGATCAATAGAGTTTCGTCTGTTCATAAGTAAATCGTCGCGAAGAAGGGGCACAGTGACCACTGTCGTTTGTTGCTGGGGCGCCGGTGCAGGGGCTGCTGCATTACTATTCGACTCCTTGTTGAAACTAACACTGACAAGAATATTATTGCCAGAAGCGAATACCTCCTTGGAGGGCAATGTTTCAGGCGGTAGCGTCTGTATTGTGTGACCCTTGCGTTTCTTTTCTTTGCGCTGTTGCTTCTCCAATGGCTTTTTCTTTTTCTTACTCTTGTCGCGTTTGCGCTTCATCTTTTTGCCTCCAATCATTGGTGATAAGCTGCGTCTGTGATCAGCGGCGGTGTCGTAATGTTGCACTCCATGCGGGGAACCCAAAGGTGGAGTCCAGGATGCAGGGTTCTTGTCAACGCCGCCGGGACCACCACTTTCATGTAGGAAGTTTCGACGGTTCGGTGATCGTCCGGGCGAGGGAGAGGGTGACCAGTGGGAGGCAAGCAACCCCCCAGTGTTTTTAGACGGGGAGTGGCGACGCTTTTTGTTTAATTGCGGCGCTAGGAAATCATCAGCGTCGTCGAAGGGATCCCGCTGACGTGAAATGCGACGTGGATGTCCCGGACTGCTGCTTGCGGGACGCTTCCTACCCTTCTTCTTCTTCTTTTCGCCCTTCTTTTTCTTTTTCTTTGTCACAGGATTCGGGCTCTTCGACCGACTGCGACTCAGACGCGGAGTATAGCGCGTAGGTGAATAGATCGGCGATCGATTCCCAACCGCCGCTGCGAGTTTGCGGCCACCATTAATGCGCGGCGGCGTATGGGATCGGGAGTGCAGGGAGTGAACACTACGACTTCGGCTGCGACGTACCATCGGCTGGGAGGGTGACCGATTAAACCGACGCCCTGGCACCAGTGGCAGTGGTGTGCGGGAACGGGAGCGGGAACGGGATCGTGAGCGGGAGCTACCACGTTGATGGTGACTGCTGACACCCGGCGGCGAGGGCGATATGGTGAAACTGCGAAAGCGTTTGTGTGGCGACGCAGAGCGCGAACGGGACACACTACGTGAGAAACTGCGAGATCGCGGACGCCGCTCGTAGCTAAGCGAACGACTGCGTCCGGACCGTGCGGCATCGCGTCCATAGCGATCCTTGTAGTGCTGCTGATAATGCTGACGCCCTGCGCCAACCACGTTTCGCACATCGTATCGCGGCAGCTCCCGTCGCTTTGGACGCTGCATTTGCGGTTGCGCAAAATTTTGGTGTCCATATGGACGCTGGTAGTGCTGATGCTGATTGTGGAACTGCGGATTATGGAACTGCGCATTGCGATAATTAAAACGTCCAAAGCCACGTCCTCCCCGCGAATTGTAAAAATTTCCCCGACCATTGTAGTTATAGTAATTATTTTGATAGCTCTGTCGGTGACCGCGTCCACGAGGACTGTGCGAATGCGAGTGGGATCGGGAGCGGGAATATGATCTGGACCTCGATCGGGATTTCGATCTCGACTTTGATCTGGATCTCGACTTGGAGCGACTTACACGACGCCGTAGTTCCCGAGGGGATTTCGAGCGACTATGGCTATGGGTGCGGCTCCGGCTGCGACTACGACTACGACTCAGTGTATGGCGACTGCAGCTACGAGAATCAGAGCGTGGGGTTCGGGGTCGCCGTGAGCCACTGCGCGATTGTTGTTTTTCTGCCCGATAATTTCGATCCTTTTGACGCTTCCCGATCTTCTTAAAAGTCTCCTTACTGCGTTTCTTACCACGTTTAGATTTGCCTTCTGCGGCAACACTCCGACGACGACTGCGGCTGCGACGCTTTGCTTCGTCGTTGCTATCGTTATTTAAATCGTCATCGTCGGATATTAGCTCTGTGTCCATGGCATTAACTACCTCTGCGTCCCGACTCTTTTTCCGTGATTTACTTTTTACTGCGCTTGTGCCCTCGTCCCCTTTTTCGTGAGTCTTGCCGCTGGCAGCCTCCTCATCCATAGTTTTTTCATCCAGACATGGAGTATAAGAGCGATCTTGGTCGGGTGCGCTGCCTGGGGTTTTTTCTCTATCGTCTGCATGATCTCCTTTTGTTTTCTTTTTCACGACAGGACTCTGCGCACTCTGCTCGCTCTGATCACCCAAGTCCGCATTAACTTCCTCTTTGTCATCCTTTTCTTCACCGCCTGCAGATTTTTCGAACTCTTTTGGCTTATCTATATCCAATTCCTCCCAATCACTATCATCATACAATTCCAAGACTCCCTTGCCTCCATCTGCGACGCGAGTGTCCCTCAATGTCGGGCTGGGCGTGCTGCGTGTCTTTGCCTCATCTTCATCGTCATCATCGTTTTCGGGCTCTTTGCCTGTGGGCACATCCGATGAAATGGGCTCTAAGTTTGAATTCGCTGCATTCGAATTTGAGTCACTCGGTTCGTCCTCTGGATCGTACTGTTCTCCAACACATGATTTTTCACTTTTTTTAGAATCGCTGGCCAGTTCACCGGCCTTGTCATATATCTCATCAGTTTCCTCTGTGGGATTTTCTGGTTCATACAGGTCGTTACCAGCATCATTGTCATTAGTAGAGTTATTGCTGTTGCCAATTTTTTTCTCCATTTCTGGCGGCAATGGAATATCTTCTTCATCGTCTAATTGTACTAAATCTTCATTCATATCATCGTCATCCTGAGTAATGAAAATATATGGCGAAATTGAAAAAGAGAATAATATATCACGGTTAGTATGCCAAAGTTTCGCTTGATTTTGCTGTGTACTATATACATATAGAGTCTTCAACTATATACATATATTTATTTGTCTTTTTTCTGCCTTTTCGCAGAAATTGCTACTGCTATTTGGGGCGGGTGATTTTAAAAAACTCGCTGGGGACCAGTTAAATGACTTTTATATAAAGAAGTAATGCCTTTAATACCCAAAGAAGATAGAACCTACTTGATTTAAAAACATATCAGCCAATTAATATTGTTTAAATAAGTTTGATTAACATTTTGCAAAGATAGGTATTTCAACTGAGCCTCAACAAACTTTAGCTCCTCTTACTATAGAAGTACACGTATTATTTCGAAAACTTCAGTACTTGCGCTTCAATACTAAATGACAACAACACAGTCTCATTCCCAATCTCCCCATTCCAAATATTATCTAACCAGATGCAAGATGTGGCCGCAGTCTGATTTTAAAAATATAGCAGCAGATCCACCTATTAAATGTCAATATTACGCTCCGGATAAATCGAATACATTTAATGTTTGAATCAATTAATTGAGATGGTTGATTAGATATGTGTAGAAGACGAATATCTACCTATGAGTTGCAATCACAATATTTTTCGTAAAAAATGTGCTCGTGGCCAATAAAGTTTTAATCGAGTTTTCTCAGCATTTTACCAGATACCAAGAGTGTGAATAATCAACATGTATATATCAAAAGTCGATGAAAAAGTGTCTGATGGTAATGTACGAAACATAAAAATATTGCGGAATTTGGACTAGTCAATATTGTTCTGGGAATTCAATTTCAGGCAGAGTCGAAAACATTGTAGATGAGAGTCAGAAAGAAAATCTATTGCCCACTTTGCCATTTCTCAATCAAAAATCTTTTTTAAAATTATAATAGATAATTATAAACCATTCATACCTTTGTGGATTCGTTAGCTTTCTGCATTGATAGCTCCGTGGCTTTAGCCACAGCGAGGGACTCTTGTGAGTATATGGAATAATTAGGACAGTTCTCGTCATCGTCGTTGGCATTGTCATTGCTGCTGTTATTGGTGGCGGCATAGTCCATATTGATTTTAAAGAGGGAACTATTCCAAGGCAAATTTGGCGGTGGTGCAGGTGGTGGTGGCACAGTTAAGACAGGTGGCATGGACATTCGTATCGGCGTCTGATGGTTAATGGGCGCTGGCAGGCCGCTGAATAGTTGCGGCTGTGGTTGGGGCTGCGGCTGCGTTGGTATCATATGCGAAAAATTTGTATTTGATGGGGTAGTTGGCGTAAAAGGCAGAGATTGACGCTGTGACAAATTTTGATTGCGTTGTTGTTGCTGCTGGTTTCGTTGATTGAAGCGCAAATTAAAGGGCGTAAATCCGGGCATGCCCTGCGAATTGCTGTTATTATTGTTGCTGCTGTTGTTGCCACTTTGATTGTTGAAGTTGCCACCGCCTGTATTGCTGTCATTTCCACTGTTTGACATTCCGCCAGTGGAGTGACGTTGATATTGGTTACCAGTTCCGCTGCCACTGCCACCGCCACCACGATAGTTATTTTGTCCACCATAACGATTATTATAGTTGCCGCTACCTCCTCCAGCGCCACCGCCTCGTCCAAAATTGGGCCCAGCACCACCACGCTGATAAAGCGGCACTTGCGTTACATGCTCAATGGGCTTGGCAGCCTCTGTTGTGGTACTCGAATTCGATGTCGAGTTAGTTGTACGCTGTGGCAAATTCAGGCTGCCATCGGCATTGATACGAACCTCGGTTAGATTTCTTGTCGTAGCATGCCAAAGTTCCTGCATATCCATTATGCTAGAGAGTATATCACCAGGTGTGGAAACAGTGGCAGCAGTGCGAGCCTTTCCCATTAGCAAAGCTTTACGGTTACGTGTGCTGCCGAAACTGGCAATACGAACCGCTGTCTGCACAGCTGTGCCATGTCCCGTGTCTACATGTGTGGGAATTGCCACATCCTCGCCAGCGTTATCGCTATCTGAGAAATATTCTAAATCATTCGCATGCCCAAAAAGTGTAAAACTTGCCGCAGCACCACCCAAGCGAGAGCTATGGTTCGCATCTGTTTTGACGCCCATTTGCTCTGCGAGCCGTTTGCTGGCGCTGAGACGCACAAGTTCGCCTTTTTCTGTGTTCGCTCGACTTAACTTGCGGTTCGCCTTACGTCGTCGCCGCCTTTTTATCACTTTTCTGGTGGTCTTCAATGCAAATTTCTCATCAAAATTATTCAAATCATATTCCACTACATAGGTACGATAACGTGTGCGCTTACGTCTACGGCGCCGTCTCTGTGTGGTGCCTGAAGGTGCAGTGCGTCCGCTGGCGCTTCGCTGCGTTGTTGTGGTGCGTGTCGTGGTCGTGGTAGTTGTTGTGCTTCCTCGACCTCGTCGTGTTGTCTGCATCTGCGTTGTAGTGGTGGTCTCCAGTTGTGCCGCTGCCGAGCTCCGTGTGTGCCTCAAAACAGCCGCCCGGATGCGTTCGTTTTGACGAGTCCGCAAAATTCGTGGTTGCTGAACTTCGCGTACTCGCAGACGTGTCTCTGGCAAACCCATGCCCCTTATGTCCTCATACAACATTTGCAAATCCTCTGCTAGCTCCAATTGCTCATCCATATCCTCGTCATGGGATGCAAAGCAATTGTCACAGTACCAAGAACCTTCGGGTATTTCAAGCAGCGGTGGATCCAAGCAATCCATATGATAGCCCTGATTGCAGCTATCACACAGGAGCATGACATCCTCACGGTCCGGACTGTTGCAGATTTCGCAGTTGGTTACCTCAAATGTAGCGCCACCCTCCTCATTGTCATCATCGAGCTCGAGCTCTTTTTTCGCTTTGCTCGGATCTACGAGAATCTCGCGTACTATATTGCGAAGTCCGAACGTATCGCGCACGATAATTTTATCGAACGCGAGCCGGTCTATGGGACAGGTTTGCACATTCTTCGACCATGCCTCGATGCAGGCCGCACAGAAATTATGCTCGCACGTCGCCGGCGTGCCAATTTCTTGCTGGCGAAAAGTTAACAGACAAATCGGACATTTCTCCAGCAGCTCGTTGCTACTGCTATCGGAACTGAAACCGCCGTCGACAACCGCGCCGTTTGTCTCGTTAGCCGGAACTTCATCGTCCGAGATGATGAATTTCTTTTGTTTTTTCCCGCGTCTTCGTGTATTGGTGCATTGAGCGATCTGAAAATGCAAGGGCAGGATAGAACGAGGTGTTAAAATACAAAAAAAGCATATCTTAATAACAGGCATAAAATATATGCATAAATCTATCATGTCTTATGAATGAATATTAGAATAATTCTAGTTTGAAACAGACAATTATGATGTTGTTGTTGCTGTTATGTGCGTTGCACACACATGTGTATGAAGAGCGAAACCGGTTTAGTGTTCTGCCCTCAACATTTTACACGCAAATCAGATATAGGTACACACATATACATACATACATATGAACAATGTATATATGTAATAGACACACCGCTAAGAATATCTTGGAATCCAATCATTACCTCACTGCCGCTGGACGAGATGCTATCTTCCCACTCATCATCGAATTGCAAACGATTAGCACCGCGCCGACTTCTCAGTTGACGTGCTGATATCCTTTCCAAGCTATCAGAATCGGAGTCAGCGGCAGGTTGCTTTTTTTTGGATACCACTCGAGTGCTGCGGCGTTGACGGGCGGGGGCGCCCGTTGAACACGACGGTCGTGTATCAAGGTCAGCAACGTTGCCGTTGCTGGCGACCGAACTACTGGCGTCGTCCGATTCTTCGCCGTCATCGTCAGAATCATCAAATTCGATGCGCATGACAATGCGACGCTTTTTACGATCGATTTGATCTGTTTTTCTGCTGGATCCTCTGCCGGCGCCATTGTTGCAAGACGGGCGATTTATATCTTCGTCGTTGCTGCTGCTGCAGTCACCGGAATTGTCGTTGTCGTCGGGCATGCTGCTGCTGATGCAATTATATACGTATGTAGTATGTATCGTATGAGATATGTACACTGTGCAATTCTTGTATTCACATATGTGTTGTATTTGCTACGTAGTTTAATTATTTCACCCAGTTTTGCAAACGCGTTCTGCGCCTAACGCTGCTTTTCTTCAGCGAAAATACAATTTATTTTCTCTGCCTTTACACATACAGATACACTCGATTTTCAGCCATTTTTTTCTGCTAGTGGTGACAAACGGCGGTCTTCTTCTTTGTTATGGCAAAAGTGTGAACGCTGATCTAAATCATCATCGCGCAGTCTGGTAGCGCACGTAGCCATCAATGCACCTCTGCGAGTTTGACAAGTCTCCACTTCCTTTTCGGTGTGAAATAAAAAACAATCGAGATGGGTCGTATGCACGCTCCTGGGTAAAAATGATTTTTTGTATGCTTACGCGACCATTGCAATGAAATAATTAATTGAGACTGCTTGCCAAAGACGCTGATTATATTTGAATTAACGAATTTCAAATGTGATCTGTGAATAACATATTAAAAATATGTCGGACAGTCGCGCACATGTTGTAGTTCATAATTTAGCATGGAGACTTAGTCGTCATCCATATAATCTTGGGTTGTCAATAATACTAATTGAGTCAAATTTCTCTTCCAGCAAGGGTATTTCCCAATCAGCCCTCCCTTACAGACGCACTGTGCCATCATGGCTAAAACTGAACTCTGAAGATGTCAAGGAGCAGATCAAGAAGCTCGGCAAAAAGGGTCTGACACCTTCTAAAATTGGCAAGTCTCTTACAGTAGTGCTCACATCAGAATACGTTATTAACTGCAATTCCCACCCACTCTAGGCATCATCCTGCGTGATTCACATGGCGTTGCCCAGGTCCGTTTCGTTAACGGCAACAAGATCCTGCGCATCATGAAGTCAGTGGGTCTGAAACCCGACATCCCCGAGGACCTGTACCACATGATTAAGAAGGCCGTTGCCATCCGCAAGCACTTGGAGCGCAATCGTAAGGATAAGGACGGCAAGTTCCGTCTAATTCTGGTCGAGTCCAGAATTCACCGCCTGGCCCGTTACTACAAGACGAAGAGCGTTCTGCCACCAAACTGGAAATATGAATCCAGCACTGCTTCTGCTTTGGTTGCCTAAGTTAGTGGAACCACACCAGTGGTGTTTTGTTTTCTATCTCCCAGCATTTTTTATACAAGAACCAACTGTAATAAATCTGAAAATGTCCAAATAGAAACACAATTTGAATATATATTTGCATTGTAGCAAATGAATCGTTTTTAGCAATGGGTGAACTAAGTATCCTATATGAATATCCCAATTTTAAAGCTTCAGCGACTTTGGCTTGTTTTGAGTAAAATGGTTAAGGTGGAAATATCGACGAGTCTCCAATGAAATTTATTTGTGTTTTTCTGTTGGTGGGGCAACACTAAACTTATAGTCATGTGGCAGCCTTACCGGCATTTTTCCTTCCTTTGAATACGCCGCCCAGCTGATTTTTAGTAGGTAGCTGCCCTACGGAGCGCGCGGTTCGATTATTCGTATTGTGCGGATATTTGCAAGTTTCGCCAACACGGTGTCTTCTGCCTGTCTGTTTGCGTGTGTGTGGGTGTAGGTTCTTGCTTTTATTAATGATCAAATTAATATTATTGGTCATCAATAAAAAGTGTTGAATTTCATCACCAAGCGAACTTTCGTTGTATTGATTGATATATAATAAATGTGCGGACATTCATTTTGGTCATTGCAAAGAAAAACAGGAGGGTGATTAGGTAATTTAAAACAAAAATATATCGTGAAAATACACGCACATATGTACATATTTAATTTGTTCAATCGTTATTGTTCTTGCCATTTTGTATGAACAGTAATTTAGAACCGTTACAAAAGCCTGGCTAGCTGTAATGTTGGCGGACGTGTATGTCAATACATATGTATGTAATTGAGAATAGTGTAGAGTGTAGATATACAATGGGAATCGATGCAAAAGCCGAAGCCGCGTGTTTTTTATACTTTTGGCACAAATAGGCGCGTTGAGCAAATAAATATGTTAATGTACACTTGGGTGTGAGAGAGTGGATATATTTGTACATACGTCTGTTTATAGTAGATTATATGTATGTACATACATACATACGTTCATATGAATGTTTATTTGTAGCTTAGTTTCTCAATTGGGGGGCACCCACGTGTTAGAGTCATACAATTACTGCCCTTTTTGCTCTCCTCCCTTAATGCTTTTTGTAACAAGCCTTGCAAATTCAATTTAAAAACCGATAAGAGTCATGTTTGAATAATGTGTACAAACATAATTACTGTAGACATATGAATGTATATTCTATATTTTGCTTGGCAGTGTAGCTTTGTATAAATGCGTGTCTGTGATTTGGCGGCGATAATTATGGGTTACAGGTGTCAGCATGACTGAATCATAGTATTTATTATATGTAAAAAAAATACATTCATGAATATATTTATGTTTACGATCTTAGCAATTGCCTGAGAATAGCACCAACAGAAACGTTTTTCGAGCGTAAGTTAATAAATCTAACTACTTTGCAATAAACATTTATAAACTCTAAAACTCATACAAACAATGCAATAAATCTCTATTTGTGTTTATTCAGGCCAATTAAGTGGCATTCATGTTGTATTTGTTTTGGTATGTATTTGCTCAACCGTTAAAAGTGTTATTTTTATTTACAAACATTTTTCGATTACCATGGCAACCACAATTACACTCTTAATATGCCTGCGAGTGTGCCTGTGTGAGGTTTGTTTGTGTGTTACACGTTAGACTAGCCCGCTAATGTTTAATAATTTAGTATTTTAAAATACTGCCGACGACATGTTATTATCGCCGTGCAATACACAATTCTTTGTAAACAATGCAATTATTTATTTATTTAGCTAACGTACAGCAACAATGCAATCGGTCAAAACAGCCGATCTGCCGGAGAACCCGCGAGAGCGTGCGAATTGGATATCGCAGGCATGTTTCTGGTGAGTGTTCATATGTATATGATTGTGTGTGTGCCGAATACTTCGCGTCTCAACTTTAAAATATGGATGTCTTAATAAATGCTGATCGCTCACATTCCAGGTATACGATGCCCACGTTCTTTAAGGGACGCAAGAAAACACTCGACACAAAGGATCTATATAAGGCTTTGAAGGAGCACAAGTCAGGTAAGACTTTTATGTAAATGAGATACAACAAATATTGAAAAAGTTGACGCAAATGCTACTGCCAAATATTAGTACATACACAGATCCAATAGGATATAATTTTTGTTTAATTGTGATACGATAGACACGTATTCAATTGCACCTACAGCACCTACATACGTGCATACATACATACATACATATATGTATAGCCAAGCGAATTTTAGAAAATGTGTCTGAACTTACCATATTTGGTAAGAAAAAAGTCAACTTTCAGATTCTTATATAGAAAACATATGCTCGTTGTCAATGAACATGGCCAATAACTGTAAAATACTATATTCTCTCGACTATTTGTTACATACTCTTTGAACCCTAAGCATGCTCATTTACAGGTAAGAGACGAGTGGCATCAAAGGTGCAATTCATTGCGAGTCATGTATTTAGTTAGTTGCATTTTATAGAAAACTAGAGCGCTTGCACAACAGTTCTTTACATGGGAATTGAGTACAATTTATGTGATTGAATTGTGCCCAACAATCAATTGAATTCAATTTTCGGAGACCCACATTTCCAAGATTGTGTGCATAGTTTTTTGTTTTTGCTTTACATATTTGCTGAGCTTTGCAATTTTTGTTTTGCTAAAGCGACTTTATTCATCAGAAAATCGTTGGAGAGATAAGGGAATGTCTGCACGATATATTCATAACATATAAAGCGTTATCTTATTAAAATGTTATCACATTTGTCTGACTTTGTTAAAAGTGTAAATCCAATGACGCTGTAAACTGTTGACCAAAACAAATTATAAATATGCGTTTTAATACATTCATATACATAATATATACACATATATGTATATATACATATGTTTTATTTATAATGAAATAGATGTATATACATATATACCATTATGTAGTATGGGTGCATGTGCATTTGCGTGAAATGTAAAATCGTTCAATGAACTTTTTCATATTGTTTTCCACAATTTCGAGAGCTCCAGTCTTTCAGAGATAAAGTTTGTGCAGTTAAAGATTGATAGGAACACGCTATATGCATAGCTTATTAATACATACGAATGTATATATATGAATATATGTACATATATAATCATATATATGGATTATATATACTATGTATATACATACATAATAATAAATGAAAAACTGGACTGAAATATTAAAGTGCATTTCAGCAGATTTATTTTCTTTATCAGTTCCATTGCCTCTCAAAAATAAAGGTCTTAACTTAATACTGAGTTGGGGATATTACTATTTTACGGACTGATTTTAAATTAAGAGACAAATAATTTCTCTTCTGCATTCAGATGAAGGTGTAATATGTATATCTTTATTATACTGATCAAGGGTATATACATAGCTCGTGGGATCCTGTTTTTAATTTTTTTGAATTGAAAAAAATGATTCAAAAATACCAGTTAACCAGTAAAAAACTTTTTTTTCACTATTGTGAGTATTGAAAAGGCAGTTATTTAGACAATTGAATATTATTATATTTAATTCGATTTATTAATTTAACATTAAATATTTCTTTGTTTTCAATTGTTAGCAAAAATGACTAAAAATTAATCAAAATATTATCGGTTCATTTAATTCCTGCTTTATTTTTAGACAATGCCATTAACCTACAAACTGTTTATTCATTCCTTTATACTAATTAGTTTCTCTATATATATTTATTAGTATTTTGCGTTTATCGAATTCTATGGAGACAGTAAATTATTATTTGAAAATTTAATAATAAATTTGGTGGGGTAATCTTGCTATGGCAGTTTTTATTATTTTTACTTCATTTTACAGAAACACTCGGTAATGAGCTTTGTGCCGCTTGGGAACGTGAACTGCAACGAAAGCAGACCTCCAAGAAACAACCCAGTCTATTGAGAGCTACTTTGCGAGTCTTCGGATGTTACTTTGGACTGTTTGGTCTGGTTCTCTTTCTGTTGGAATTGGGACTGCGAACGTTGCAGCCGTTGTGTTTACTCAAACTGATAGCATACTTTACCCACGACTCGGAAACAAGAGAGGCCGCCTACTACTATGCCGCTGGGGTTGTGCTGTGCAGCGCCCTGAATGTCTTCATCATGCATCCCTATATGCTGGGGACAATGCACGTTGGCATGAAAATGAGAGTTTCCATGTGCAGCATGATCTATCGGAAGGCATTGCGGTTGAGCAAAACGGCATTGGGTGGCACAACGGCTGGTCATGTTGTGAACCTGATGTCGAACGATGTGGGGCGCTTGGATTTGGCAACAATCTTTGTACACTATCTGTGGGTTGGACCACTAGAGACGCTCTTCATAACTTTTCTGATGTATCAGCAGGTGAGTAAACACACAAGATCACCTATATGTATATAATGTCTTTGCACACTTTTTGTTTTTCTGTTCGTTTTACTTCTATTTTTAAAGAAACATTAAATTAGTGAAGGGTTTTCTTGCTCGATACTAGTCTTCCCATGCATGTTTATGTAAATGGATAGATAACATGGTTCCGTAATACACATTTGCAATGGTTACACCTGAGTTAAAAATTCAATAAAAAGTCAATAGTTTGTTGTAAAATAGCTCAACTGTCGACGATCAGGCAAACAATTTTAAAAATGTTACCCAACTTCGAATAACAATTTCCGCACATATATGAAATAGTTTTAACAAATTTGTTTCAGTCGTATGAATGAATTGATCCACTCTTGGAATCATTAATCAAAGCTATTTCATATCCGATTTACTTTCTGCACTAATCGGGGAGTAAAACTAGAAGGGCTTGTTGTGGGCTCAGGCATATCACGTGATTTCAGTTTTGCAATAATTGGGTGGGGGAAAGCCATCGTTACCTGACCGTGAAGTTCGACGATTAGGCGATGGCCACAATAGTTTTTGCACGTGTTAAAGTTTATGTAATTTGTTTTTGTCAATTCAATGATTTATACCGGATATTGCGAAGTTGTTTTTTTTTGCTGCCGTTTGAATAATTTTCAAAAGAAAAAAGTTTTCAATTGGCGATTAATGGAAGGCCACACACGTGCGCATATCCGGCCGGACCCCATATTCGAAATGGGATAAGTAGTGAATTATTTTGCGTTTTCAATTTTCAAATCTTACGATAGAAAATAGTTAAATGCTAAGACTAGATTCCCTAAAATTAGACAAAGAATTTCAGTAGACGAGGTGTAGAAGAAAATAAAGGGATAACAAAAAAGAATAGACTAGTAATATAGAAAGCAGCAATACAATATACAAGTAGATTAATATCAAATGTTATTCTATGGTAAGAATAATTTTATTTTATTTTATTATTCACAATTCAACAATAATACTGTCGATTATATTATAAAACTTAATATAACAATTTATACTAAATTTACAAGATAAGAAAGCCTAACACTAAGCTGTACAATGACGTCTATTAATGCCTCCGACATGTTGGGGGAATTTTATTTGCCAATTGGCCAGCTACGCCCCGATTCACAGCCACATGTGGTCAGAGACATTAAAGACCTAAAAAACTATACAAAAACTAGATAAAGGTGGAAAATTAATTCTATTTAACAACTAATGAAAAAAGTACGAAGTAGAACTAAAGCCTACGCGAAAGAATGCCCTTTCTATTCACTTTTTGATCATTTAATTATTTTTGAGCTTATCTTAATTTTTAAGTAAGAATAAGTTAAGTAAGTTAAGACAGGAATGATATGCTAAAGAATTCCCTTTGTTTCAGATTGGCGTAGCTGCTGTCTTTGGCGTTGCTTTCATGCTGCTCTTCATACCTCTGCAGGCCTGGCTGGGCAAGAAGACGTCGGTGTTGCGGCTGCGCACAGCACTTCGTACAGATGAGCGTGTACGCATGATGAACGAAATAATTTCAGGCATTCAGGTGATAAAGATGTATGCCTGGGAGTTGCCCTTTGAGAAAATGGTGGCCTATGCACGGAAAAAGGAAATTAATGCCATACGACATGTCTCGTATATTCGCGGCATATTGCTGTCGTTCATCATTTTCCTGACGCGCGTCTCCATCTTTCTCAGTTTGGTGGGCTACGTGCTGCTGGGCACGATCCTGTCGCCGGAAGTGGCCTTTGTGATAACTGCTTACTATAATATTCTGCGGACAACGATGACGGTATTCTTTCCACAAGGCATCTCCCAAATGGCCGAAGCATTGGTGTCCATTAAACGCGTGGAGAAATACATGCTCTACGAGGAAACCGATGTGGCAGACAAATCCGTAGACATGCCCACACCCAATTATCCGGGCAGCAATCAGTCTACGTTACACACAAATCAATTTAGCGAGGATCGGGATGCCAATGAAAAGCTATTGCCCCCAACTTCGTTGCCCAACATTAACGAGAATGCTGTGTTGTCCGAGGCGGGCATTTCCATAACTTCGCTCAAGGCCAAATGGGATGAGAAGTCGTTGGATTACACCTTGGATGATGTAAACTTGCGTGTGCAGCCCGGTACTTTAGTGGCCATTATTGGACCTGTAGGAGCCGGCAAATCCAGTCTTATTCAAGCCATTTTGGGAGAGTTGCGTGCCGAAACGGGTGCGATTAAGGTGAATGGCACTTTCTCATATGCCTCCCAGGAGCCCTGGCTCTTCACTGGGACTGTGCGCCAAAACATTCTCTTCGGACAGCCCATGGATAAACGTCGGTATGCACAGGTAGTGAAGAAATGTGCGCTGGAACGCGACTTCGATCTACTGCCCTTTGGCGACAAGACAATTGTGGGCGAACGGGGAGCTTCATTATCGGGCGGTCAAAAGGCAAGAATAAGTTTGGCACGCGCTGTGTATCGCCAAACGGCCATCTACCTGCTGGATGACCCTCTCAGCGCAGTGGATACCCACGTGGGCCGTCATCTTTTCGATCAGTGCATGCGTGGCTATTTGCGGGAGCACATCGTCATTTTGGTCACGCATCAGCTGCAGTTTCTACAGCACGCGGATCAAATTGTAATCATGGACAAGGGTAAAGTCAGTGCTGTGGGCTCATACGATTCGCTACGCGAGTCAGGCCTGGACTTTGCCAAAATGCTGGCCGATCCGGAGCGCGATGAACATGAAGGTCGTTCACGTTCCAGATCGGGCAGTCAGGTTGGGTCCAGCGAAAGACGCAACAGTGAGCAATCGCTGTTATCCTTGGCCGATTCGGTTTTGGACGAGACGCCCATGCAGGTGCAAGAGACACAGGAAGAGGGTCGCATCGGATTGAGTTTGTATAACAAATACTTCAAAGCTGGCGGCGGTTTCTTCGCATTCTTTGTAATGATGGCCTTCTGTGTGCTGTCACAGATATTAGCATCGCTGGGCGACTACTTTTTGTCCTATTGGTAAGTTTTCTCCCCATTCTTCGATGGTTAAGATAATAAGTTAAGATAAGTTAAGATCAATCTATAACTAAGTAATAATATTTTCACATCCATTTTATTTCCGCTTAGGGTTGCTAAAAAAGGAAAGGCTGAGCTTGCAGAAAATGCCACCATTTTAGATGATATTACAGGAATAATAGGCAACAACACCAATATACCACCAAGCCATGTACTTGAGTCCCGCTTCTCTGACTGGCTTAATGAATTGGGCGTTCCTATTGATGCCGAAATGCTTGATACGTATATTTTTACGCTGATTACAATTTTAACGATTGCGGTGACTGTGGCGCGTTCGTTTCTGTTCTTCAATGTGGCCATGAAGGCGTCGACTAATCTACACAATTCCATGTTCCGTGGGATTACACGGGCAGCTATGTATTTCTTTAATACGAATCCCGCCGGACGCATTTTAAATCGGTTTTCGAAAGACATGGGCCAAGTCGATGAAATATTGCCGGCTGTTATGATGGACGTCATACAAATCTTCCTTTCCTTAGCTGGCATTGTTATTGTCATAGCTATTGTGAACCCCATGTTTCTCATACCCACGTTTGTGCTGGCGATCATCTTCTATCAGCTGCGCACCTTCTACTTGAAGACCTCGCGGAATGTCAAGCGTTTGGAGGCCATCAGTGAGTCATTTGAAGCGATAGCTGTTGCTAGAGAGCAAATTATAGATATTTTTTATATAAATTTTTTATTATTCGTAGCCCGCTCACCGATTTATTCGCACGTGGCTGCATCACTGTCGGGTCTATCCACCATTCGGGCATTTGGCGCACAGCGCGTGCTTATCACAGAGTTCGATAATCATCAGGACTTGCATAGTTCGGCGTTTTATATGTTTATAAGCACTTCGCGAGCTTTTGGATATTGGCTGGATTGCTTCTGTGTGTTTTACATTGCCATTATAACGCTGAGTTTCTTCATTTTCCCTCCGGATAATGGCGGCGATGTGGGTCTGGCAATTACACAAGCGATGGGCATGACCGGTATGGTGCAATGGGGCATGCGTCAGTCAGCGGAGCTCGAGAATACGATGACAGCGGTGGAGCGTGTGGTCGAGTATGATGACATTGAGCCGGAGGGGGCCTTGGAATCAGCTGCTGATAAGAAACCACCCAGGACATGGCCTGAGCAGGGCAAAATAATGTTTGAAGAGCTCAGTTTGCGTTATGTGCCCGATCCCAAATCTGAGCGTATACTCAAGTCTTTGAATTTTGTGATACAGCCCTGCGAAAAGGTTGGAATTGTAGGACGCACCGGCGCGGGCAAGTCCTCGCTGATCAATGCCCTATTTCGCCTATCCTACAACGATGGCTCTATCTTGATTGACAGGCGGGATACGCAGCATATGGGATTGCATGACTTGCGAAGCAAGATATCGATAATACCTCAGGAACCGGTGCTATTCTCGGGAACAATGCGTTACAATTTAGATCCGTTTGATGAATACAGCGATGCCAAGTTGTGGTCATCCTTGGAGGAAGTTAAACTTAAAGAAGTTGTCGCGGATTTGCCAAGTGGTTTACAAACAAAGATCACAGAAGGTGGCACGAATTTTAGTGTGGGACAACGTCAATTGGTTTGCCTGGCACGCGCCATTTTACGAGAGAATCGGATATTGGTTATGGACGAAGCGACCGCTAATGTGGATCCGCAAACGGATGGATTAATTCAGACGACCATTAGAAACAAATTCAAAGACTGCACCGTACTTACGATTGCCCATCGCCTGCACACGGTAATGGACTCTGACAAGGTTTTGGTTATGGATGCCGGTCAGGTCATGGAATTTGGTTCCCCATATGAGCTGTTGACAGCGACAGAGACAGAAATCTTTCTCGGAATGGTGAGGCAAACAGGGAGAGCCACGTATGAGAATTTGCTAAAGGTAGCACAGAATGTAAGTGCGATAAATAATTTGTATACTCTGTACATAAAATGTACAAGAGTATATTAGGTTTGCGGGAGCTGAAAATGTAACAGGCAGAAGGAGGCGTGGCAGACCCCACAAAGTATATATATTCTTGATCAGCATGACGAGACGAGTCGATCTAGCCCTGTCTGTATGTGTCTGTCCGTCCGTATGATCACCTAGATCTCAGAGACTATAAGAGCTAAAGACACCAAATTTTGCACAAAGATGCCTTATGTGTGTACGCTATACGAGTTTGTTTTATTTTTTTGATTTTCCCCCCTACTTCCCCCCTATGGGGGTTTTCCCGATTTTCCATTCGTATAATCGCCTATATCTCGGAGACTATAAGACCTAGGGACACCAAATTTTAGTCCAAGATGCCTTATATGAATATGCAGAAAATGTATATTTTGGAATTTCTCTCCCTCGCCCCTCCCCCGCAAATCGTAACTCAAACATGGCAAATACCTCCATTTAGTTATTATAAGTCCAAATGTCAAGTTTCATCATGATAGGCCGATTTAACAGGAAGTTATAGCCATATATGTACATAAGGCCAAGTAGTGCCCGCAGATGTTGTTGTTACTGCTTTGCTCAGGCACAGGAGACATACACAGACACAAACAAACACACACACGCATAATTATTCTACACATATGTACAGAGTATTTCAAAGTCTGGATACCCGACTTTAGCTTCTCTACTTGTTTTTTTTTTTTTTTTTAATCAATTCTCTATTTATTTTATTTCTTATCTGTTTAGGCTTATGAAGCAGCACAGCAATCTCGCCGATTAGCCTCTTAGGAGCAACCAGTAACAAAAATATGCCAACAGGAATTAATTGAGCATACGCGTTCCAAAAAACAAAAACCAACTACTTACTTATTACAAACGTTTCTTAATTTAGGACTAACATGCACGTTTCGGTATTGTTTGCTGAATCATTTATTTACTCGAACGCCTTACAGCAACAAAGTACAATTATCTAAAAAACGGGATCATCACAAGCAGTTGGAATTGTCTTATTACTATAATTATGTAAGATATAAAGTGTAATATATGTGTGCCTATATTTATGTAGTGTGTAACTAATCTTTATTTTGAGAAATTTCAATTGAATTCTGCAATTAATTTCATATTGTATGTATGTATGTATGTTTATATATTTCATATTTGGGCGGAGCCAATTTAATATTAAGCCAAGTGTGCCTATAAGTGTTATAAGCCGCTTTAAATGTATACATCTTTACCAAAGTTTACACAACGATATAATGCCGTACACATACAGAAAAAGTTTTTGAATACAATGTATATGAGTTACCTATAACGATTATGTGTAACAAAAGATGTGGAAATCATTAAAAAATAAATATATTCTACAGAGAGTACTTAATATTAAATTATATTTATTTTAAACTAGCAAAGGTTTATCCTTCGAGGTAATGTTATCTGCCCATAACTAGACTGTAGGAAGTGTAAGTGTAAAGAGTAAACGTAAAAAATAAGCAGAAGGGGGTGTGGCAGACCTTTTTCTTAAAATTATATTATTTATTCACTTACCATATCTATCGTACGTCAAGGAAAATTACACGATGATTTACGAACCACAAGTAGATGTTATTGTGCTGTTCATCATGAATATATGAATTTAATTTTGTTACGTAAACGATATACAAATATTTGACAGTTATCTTAAAACAATCGATGTTTTTTGTTTTTATATAAATTTGATTTTGCTTTAGAATCAATTCTGGATACATTTTCCCACAACTACCCTTTTTAAGTAATTTAAGAAGGCTTTCTCTAATGAAGAGAAACGCATTTGGCCGTCTTTTGTTTAATAGCTTCTCGTTAACGTAGCTTACGATAGATCATCCAAAGCCAGCTTCTTAAAAACCAGTCCTCAATCTGCCACCACAAAGTAATCTATGCACTTTACACGATGCCAACAATTTTTGCAACGAAGTGTATAATTTGATTCCAAGCGATCTAGAAGTGTATATAGGGAAAACAGTCAGACTTTCATTTGTATAAACATAGATTTATATATTTATTTTATATTTTAATTAAAAACAAACATTGAATAAAACCAAAAATTGTTAACAATAGAAATGTAGAAATGTTTACTAAATGTAATTTTTTTTACGATCACAACATTTGACATGTAAATCGGATTAAGAAATTGGATTATATTCTGTTCTGAATTGACTTATAGAAAGGCAAAGTAAAGCCAACTTCCCCTACTTCCTTTTCTAGACACTTTGCAGAGAGCTTTGCTTTCCGTTCCATTAATAAAGGGCATTTAATTTCTTAGCCAATGCAGTAACCAAGATTCCACAATGTTTTCATGCAACGACTACAAACGATCGCATGGAAAGCTCTACTTCTTGGTTTAGCTTTAAAAAGCTCTAATCAAGTTTATAACTGCTCGCAAAATATTTTAAGGCAACTGTCAACAAATGAGTCTTCGGCGGCGTTGCCTTATCTCGAAGTTTTTAACCGTCGGATTTGCGGTAAAAGTGCTTAAAAATTGAAGCACGTTTCGGACAATTCTCAATACACAAGCGAAGCAAAAATAACAGATATTTGCAAAAATAATTGCGTTCACTTTCATTTGAAGATGCGTTTAACTTATAAAACCCACATAGCCATGCAAAACACACGCCGCACATAAATTTCGTTTTAAATTTGAACGTCGCCCGTGCCCGACTTTAAAGCTCGACTTATTTTGGCCGGGTCTGCTATAAAACCGCCTGTTGAGCTTGGACGCCCAGCATTTCGTCAAGCAATACGCGTGAAACGGTTCCAAATAAGAATAAGAGTGAAGCGGACTGTGGAAACCAGAAATATTATCTGTACTTGACAGCTTGGGCGTATTAATAAGGCCACGTTTAGTGATTTGTTTGGCCAAGTCGCGGAAGTGTTGCACAAACCTTACAATAACAAACATGCAGCTGCCACTGCAACTCTTTGTGGTAAGTTACAGACTAGGAAGCCCAAGGACTTACAAGCGGAATGGTGTTTATGGGTATACAGTATTGAACGTTGACTTGTGAGCCCCATTTAGAAAATTATAGAAAAACTTAACAAGTGCACACATAAATATGCAACTTAATTGAATCGAATCGTGTTTATGCGTACCAAGGCCGGTTGGTCGTTGAAGTTTAAGCCGAGACTAAGACGTTTGTGTTTATGTATTTATTTGCATTTTATTGAAAGTCTTCCAAGCAATTAGCAATTAAATATGAGCAATTGACATTTCGTTCATGAAAGAAATACAAGTACATATTTAACAATACTGTCGATGCTGATTCAATCATTAACAATCGTTATTGTTTTTTGCACCAAAGAATTTCGTTTTGAAAATTCGCAACCAAGCCCTCGGGTTACCAATTAAACTAGCATTTTTGGATTGCCAGACCACACCAACAGCCAAGAAGGTGAGGTCAGCTTTTGAGGGTTTGCAGACAATGAAGTCGTTATAAATTATCGACACCACCACAACCACTGCCACTGGAATGTCATAAACTATTTGAACATGAGAAAATATTCGTAATCTCCGAGAAAATCAATTATTTCAAAATCAATAAAAAATATATTGGAAAATATAATGAATTATGTACGTTTTTATATCTGGAAATGCTTCTTAATACCAAAGCCATTTAAAAAAACAAGAAACACAATTTTAATTTTGAAAATCTTTGATGTACACTATGATAATGGTTTTTACAATATGTTAGCAATTTTTTAGGATTTGTTGTTTTACAACAGCTTTATTTTTTTTATGGTCAGTAAAATCGGTTTCCTAATATTGTAAAATTTTGTTCTTCATAAATTTAGATCGTATTTGTTTTAACCTTAACCCTCAAGATAGAATTCGAGATTGATTAACATTTATAAATTTTAAATAGAATACGGTGAACATTTAAACCAAATTCTATATTTTCCGTGAATTCAGTAAAGTGGTTCGATATAGAACTTTGGAGATTAAGGAGCATGTTTCAAATGATTTATTTAATATATCTTGTTGAGCCATTGTTGGTATATCTTTGTATTTAGAATGACGCAGACCACATAGAATTCTACAAGGTTTTGACTTCAAGTAAATACTGTTAAAAATGCTTTTAAATCTTGAACGTACTCATACATATATGATCCAAAATAGTTGTTAGACACCTTCAAAGCAATTTGTAATACGATTTGTCTTTATGTCTTCAAACGAAAACGATAGATATTGTAAAACTAAATACTTATTAATATATTTTCAAAAGTGCGGCGAATGAGAGACCTTAATAAGTTTTAAGCCCGTTTGATTGATTGACTTGCTAGTTTGTCGAAATTACGGGCACAGTGTGTCCGACTAATGAGTTTGCAAAAAAAAAAAAACAACTCTGCCTGTAAACAAACAATAATTGCTCGCTTTTGTTCCATATAAAAGGGTGCTTATGAATTAAATGGAAATTCGACATGGAACGCGTAGACTATTATAAGTGAATAAGTATGGGTTGGACATAAGTAAAGTGTCTCAAGGTCGCCGTAGCCTGGAACCACTGTGCAACTCGCTTGAGATCCAGAAACGCACCATCAAGGCGTTCGGGTATATTGGCAAGGCAGCTGCATAATGCAAATTCTCAATACATGCACAATGTAACGATCAGATACACCAGCACCTCAGACTCATATACACACACATACATACACGTATGTCAGATACAGATATGTCTTCACATATATACATATGTATGTACACCCATTCGCTCATAACTATGCCGTTGCACTACGCAATTGGGCGTATGGGCATTACGTAATGCGCGAGTATATAAAAATACATAAATAAAAGCGTTACATATTTTGTAAAGCCGGCTTGAAAGTGCACTGACAACTATTTCGAGTCAGTCGGCGATTCCAGTGGGGCAGAGAGAAATAAGAGCACATTTATAAATGCCGCCGCATATGCAATGAGCGGCAATTGGGGGACGGACTGAAAATTTCAGACGCAGTCGAAAAGTTTACGAAAATTGTAATGCAACGCATTTTTCTCCCCTTGATTCGATGGCCGGTCAATAACCAGAGCTACTCCAAACCAAGGCCAAGTCTCTTGAGCGTAATCGCCTAAATCCATATCCATAGTTATTGTTGCTAATGAATGAAGGAGTGCATGATCTGTGCAGGCGTATTGTCGCTGATGAGTCCCAAGTTGTAGATCCAGAGCCACACCCGCACCTTAACCCACGTATATTCAACAAAAAGAAACGAAATTGTTCAGCGACTGCTCCTCTTTTCTTTCTTTTTAAATTCAAGGTGCGCTTCATAGGCCGAAAAGTATTTTGTTTTGGGTTTGCTTCCTTGCACAGTCAAAACACGAAAAGCAATTAAATGCAATCAAGTTCCCTACACCAAAATTTGCCTTTATATATAGTATACCCACAGATTTATAGTTGATCGGCAACATAAAAAGTGCATATGAAATAGTTGGCTACCGGTGGCAATGCAGGCATGCGAGCCAGTTGGCGTTGGCATTTTTATATTGTTTTTAATTTCAACGCCAAGTAGTTCACTTGACCAGGTAGTTGGGCATTCAGCCAGTTAACCAGCCAGGCAGCCATTCAACTGGCCAGCCAGGCAGCAACAGCCACTCGGTCGGCCACTGGAATGTTGGGCTTGAATGGTCACTAAAACAAAACCAAGGCGTGCTCGAGCAAGAAAGTAATGAAAACTACATTATAGTTTTTATGGATCTGGTCATGACGAAACTTATATACACTTTGTACAAAGTATGTAAATAAAAAGTACGTGCTACAAGAAGAGCCTTATAAGGAGTTCAATATAATTGATATACTCGTATGTACATGTGTAAATGTTTTCAAAAGAAAACTTTAAATAATAACACCAAAAATAAATACAAAATTGTGTTGTACGTCAAACTTTTATTCAATGTAGACTATGTATTTAGAGCATTTAGTAAAGATGTTTATAATAATACTCTTATTTACATATATGTAGGTAGTGTTACCTACAAAGATTTAAATTCAGCAAATCTTGCTTTTCGTAAAACCGGGAACAATTACATTCATTTTAATACATTTTCTAAATAATATTAGAATTTCTAATATAAAGCATGTGTCTTGGAATTGTTAGGATAAATCAGATGTTTAGAAAGTCTTATAAAGAATCGAATAGTAGCTGTTTTATAAACAATTTTTAAAAAATAATTTTAAATAGGTGATGTGTAGATATTGCTTATTTGACTGTTTATGTGGATCTTATTTTTATGTTCTGTGATGTATCAATATTATTCTGGTTCTAATTATTCTGGCGACATCCGCCATCTAACATCAATACTTTTCTTTATTTTATTATATTTTTTAAGGACATATTAAAATTACTGTATGAAAAATTCTGCGCACAATTATCAATAAAGTTCCATATGTATAGTCAAAAAACCCTTCATTTGGTCTGTCTAAAAAAACGTTGGGAAAAATTTCTAACATCAGTATTAACTGGGGGAAAATAGATATATGTATTGAGCTTTTCCGCTTTAAATAAAATATTTTATTTTAATTCTAATATTAATAACTACAAAATATGCTTCATTAAAAAGAGGACTCCAAAGATAGCTAAATTTTCGAACAATTATTGGAGCTGCTTCAAGTGGCAACGCAGAGGACGGTTTTATAAGAATAAATCTGATTTTGGTGCTTAATGTGGCTTTGATGAAGTTTCAAATATAAAGTGCCGAGGAGGGCTTCGTTTAAAATTTAATTATTTTATTAATAATTATATCAGTTCTTTCAACGTGTAAATAATTTTTGATTCAAAAACCTTTAAGGGTGGGGTTACTTATTAAAAGCGATGATTTAGATAATTAACGGATTCCGACTCAATCAACAATAAATGATTTCAAAATCATTTCAAATAATATCGTTCTAAGCAGTCATGAACTTTTTTCAGGTAAATACCTGAACGTGGTGATACGAATCGTGGTACGCTGAAACCGAAAGTGTTGCCGGTTTCAAACCGTTGTGGGTCACTGATCTCTTTTAGTTCGATTGTAATTATGGTGGCTGCTAATTAAAAACTTAATCAAAAGCTCGGGCTGTCTTTGTTTTTTTGAAAGTATCTGAAACTAAGTCGTCTAGCCACTTGGCAGCTATTTGTCCTAGACACTGACTTTTTTCAACCGGAAACTACAAGCCATAGTATTGTGTGTGTTGGCAGGTTTATTTCTGTGTATTTTTCACATGCCTACGAATTTTCGCATAGCTGTTTTGGATTTTTCTCTTCAACTACGTTTTGGTGGCTGCCACTGCTGCCCACAACTGTGGCATGCAAATTACGCAACCCAGCAACAACAACATCAACAACTACTTTAAAAGCCAACATTTTTGTGTGTTTCGTTTGGATTTTTAGCTTTGCCTTCATGATCGATCACAATTTTTGCGATTTGCTTTATGTTCCACATTTATAGCGTCTGTTGTTGTTGTAATAGTTGTAGGCTGCCACAGCGCTACAATTACTATTTGACTACAATTTGTGGCTATCGCTGTTGCTGCTATTGTAGTACTGCAGAGCGAATAAATCGGGTAAACCAGTTTCTGGAAGGTGGTAACTAACATCGAAACTTAAAAGTAAAATGGCACGCCCCGAATAAATTAACGACGGAAGCTTTGTAACGTAATTGTGCTTAGAATAGATTATGGCCAGAATTCTAGGAAACCGTTAGGCAGCAAGTTCACTAAAAAGGGGCCTGCAGGCGGACTACTAATTAACAGAGCGACCAAAAATGGTTGGCTTTTCGTTTTTGTCAAATTGGTCACGCGTGCCACACTTGGGCTGTCAACCAACCGCTGTTGCAACAAAATATTGCGTCAATGGGGCGCCCTGAATAGACATAATGTTAATGCCCCGTCAAGAGAGACGAGCTTTGATTTTGTTTTCCTATACATACTATGAGTACTTTCAGATACATATGACTGTAATATATTTTTTAAGAGTATAAGAATAATGCTTAAAAAAGTTAAAGCTGGGCCATTCTTGAAAAACGTGACGTGCAATAAACCGCCTGCACCACGCTTTGAGAAAGTGAATATTGTTAATGCAAACTCTGAACAAAATGTTAGCTTCAGTTTGTAGCACCTAGAGATTTACGCCATCTGGTAACAACATTGGCGTTTAATACTGGGCTGAAAATTAGTTAACAAACAAATGGTTCCTCAGTGATAGCATTCTTTAGACTTTTAAAGATATTATGGACTATTTTATTCATCAGTTGCACCAGATACTTGAAAACCTCATTCAGTACGCCGGGTATTGAATCGTATATCCTCACATGTAGCGATTAAAGGCGAACTTAAGTTTTCTATCTAATATTACATAAATGAGCAGCTCTTCCATTGAAATTAGGAAATATAATTGCGTAAGCTCAATCACTGCCATAACTTTTTAGCGAGTATTACTTGTATATGTACATGAGATCTGCAAGAGAAGTTGTGTTATACTTATTATCTTAGGTTGTTAATACTATAAGAACATTCTATTTTTAGAACTTTCCAAATTTTGAGATCTGGCGCAATCGAATTTTTTTCGGCTTAATAATTAAAATAAATGAAGAAAAGCTAAATAGGAGATTTAAGTAGATAGCGAACTTAACCATTAACAATGTTATTGGATGAAATAATTATTGTGTTGCCAATACTTTATATTCTCAGCTGTTTTGTGGCACCATTAGCATATCACTAGTCCAGTCTCAAGGCTACCCACCAAGACTAAACATACCCGGTGCTGTGTCCGCTCCAGTGCGTCAGCCTGTCCTTCGGGTACGTCGACCCATAGCACTGCGCCAGCAGAACACACTTCTGCCAGCTGTCACGCCACGTATAGCAATCGAGGATGCAAAGCCCGTAACCGAATCGGCTGAGGATGAGCAGCCTGATACCTTTTTGCCGAGTCTACTGCGGGAACAGCAACTGGCGCAGGCACAGCAATCGCAGTTCCAGCAGGCTGCCGCCGCTTTCTTGAACAATCAGCCTGGTGTGTTGCAGGAGGCACCAACGCCGGTGCAGCATTTGCTCCAGCATGAAGATGCACAGCCAACAGCAATCCTGCCACCTCCTCCACGCTTTGCTGAGCGTCCGGTGGCTCCTGCTCCTAATCGTCCGTCTACCTTCAATGACTTCGGCATTGGACGCTTCGAAAATTCGCAGCGTTTTGGTCTCGATCGCAATACACCCGTGCGTCAGCAACCACTCCCTGAGCCCACATTGCCAGCGCAAGCGCCACCGCCACAACGTGTTGCTGTCATCCGCAACCGCCCCGCCGCTGCAGTGCATCGCCCTGAGCCGGTGGCATCAGCTCCCCGTCCACGTCCCAAGCCCATCCAGCCGCGTCCTATCATCGATCAGAATCAGCTGCAGGATGAGCGCTCCGAGCAACAGCAGCGTCGCCAGCGTCCCGTTGCCCAGACAATACGCAAGTGGCGCGAGGAGAACGAGGACGGCAGCATCACCTGGGGCTACGAAAATGACGATGGTTCTTTCAAAGAGGAAATCATTGGCATCGACTGCATAACCAAGTGAATACACCTTCGATAGGGCTATAGAACTATGATAATAAATGTTTTTCTTTGCAGGGGCACCTACGGGTACATCGATCCCGATGGTAACAAACGTGAATACCACTATGAGACTGGCATCAAATGCGATCCGAATGCGCGAGACAATGATGAGGAGCTGCAGGAAAACGGTTTCATCAATTATGAGGAGAACAGAGCTGTACTACCCAATGGCATAGAAATCGATATGTCACAGTTGGGCAAGAAAAAGTCCAAGCGTCCAAATAGTGTTTACAGAAATTAAACTTTATCCATTCTATGCTTCAAGTATATTATATCTTAAGTCATGCAGTTCTTAAGTCGTCGCAACTCGTACTCAACAATGTAAAATTTAAATTTATGTCTACTTTATTTTTGTCGCATTTTAGTGTGAAGGAGAAAATTAAAAGTGTAGTGTTTAAAGTCGGTATTTATGGTGTAGTTTTATTAATAGGGGCGCTGACGTCTAGTACGGTTTGGTGGAGTTATGGAAATATCTAGAAAGTCGCCGATGCTAAATTTCGCTTGCGCCAGCGTCTTGTTGTCGTCGATTCCTTTCTGGCCGGTACATGTGACGCCAATTTCACGCATTTGAAAGTGATTGTTGCGATAATTGGGAAATACAATGGCAAAGTCGAAGTAGGTGCCTTTCTTACGCGTATCGGGATTCACATCGCGCACTAGGGACGTCAGCTCGTGAAGGGTTGCGTCCTGCCAGGTGTAAATTTGTAGCTCATTTGTGGGTACATTGCCGTACATATATTCGGACACAGAATGGTGGCGTCCCGTCGAGCAAAATACGCGAAGCAGAAGCGGGCAGGTCTTTAAAGTGAAGAAGAATAAAAATCAATAAAATAATAATTCTGCAGTTTGCCGGCATGGTTGTAGAAAAAAAACTAACCTTCTCCCGATCTATTTGCTTAGTCTGCGTCTTCTCCTCCACAATCATAGATTCGACATTTGCCATATTGTAGCTAAAAACTAAATAAATTCACGCTGTTTAATTGATTTAAATAACTTTAATTTAATGTCAAAGGCAAATTTCAAGACCGCCTAATGTTTTTATTTTACATGCAGCTGCGTCGAATTAGTGTTGGGCAATGCCAAATTTATTGTGGGCTATTACAATTAAAGTGCTAAGATGTACCAGCGCAATATTAATAAATGAAAAATACTAAAATGTTATATGTATTTAAAAAGCTATAATTAATTAATTACATTTAATTGCGGCACATTCATTTATAAATCAAAATCGCTGGCAAATACTTGCAATCTCAACACGCTCATTATACTCACCGTCATTTATCGATACTTTTTAAAATGTTGTATAATGTGTGTACACACTTGTAGAGGAAAAGCCTCTCACAATAGATTTTATTTTCGCCGCGGACGGTTCTGCGCTTTCGCAATAGCGTATCACGCAAATGACGCAGAAAATTGCAAAATAAATATATTTGACACAAATGACAACAAAATAAAAAAATAGACGTGCCAACACACAATTCGCTGTTGTTGTGCCGTGAGTGTGCGTGCACAAAATTTGTCTTTGAGTATCAATATAAAAGGAATATCAAACCTGTGCCAGTTGGCGACGACAACAATTTGCAATTAGCTTAACCGTTTTTTTTGGAAACTCGGTAAGTAGTAAATTGTTGCAGGTACGCGTGCTTGACCGCACAATAGCTTAGTACAATAATGATCGATGGCATCGTGCAGACAATAGCTTATGTAATATTCAATCTACTATACTGCAAGCTGAATCGTAGCAAAAGCAGAGAAACAGAGAATTGTTGCTTTTCATCTCAGTGCGTTGCTATTGCAGAGGGCGCCGGGGGTGGTCTCATACGTACATCTGTCGTAGAGACGACATACATGTATATATGTACATATGTATGCATATACACATATGTATATGGATGTGTTGCATACACAGAAATGTATTATTGTTTGCAATTGCTCATTACCACACGTTTTGTTTATAAACATTCACACGCCGCTCTCCAAATGTAATAGTATATGTGGGTATGTACGTGTGAGCTGTTTATGTAGGGTGGCTAAAGAGTTAATTGAATTCATTACAACATACTCGTATTTCGCCTGAAGCGCTTTTGCGCAAAATACAAAAGCAAACAATGAAAAACAATGTGCAAGGCTATTATTTATCCCACACAACATTACTAGCATGCATACTTACATAAATACACTCACACATGTACTTGCACCCTCGCCCCCTACGTCGACAAACACATACGCACACGCCGACCAAAAAGCCGCGCGGTAGCCAAAGGTGTTTGTTGTTCTTGTCGGCGTTGTTGTCGCTGCTGTTGCTGCTACACAAACCCACAAACACGCGTTGCCGTGTGCGTGGGTGTTGAATATTTTTTCTGCTATTATTGAATTTTTCTTTTACATATATTGTGTACACACGTCCATTGCCATCAGCTGGCCAACTTCGGTGCTACCACCAGCCTCTTTTGTTCCTAACATTTTTAGTTTGATGAGTTGGGGCTTTGGCGTTCTGCAGCCCTGACCGTGACTGACAGGCTGCGTGGCTGGTAACCCCAACCTCCCTCATTGCTGTTGTTATTGATACTTGGTTTTGTTATGGTTTGTTGTTGTGCGTCCTTGTTTGAGATGGTGCTGCTGTTGCCACAGCAACTTGTTTGAAATTTTAATTGCTTTGAGCAACACCCTAAACTCCCAACGCTCTTCTGCAAGTCAATCACAGCAGTCACTTTCAGTCAGAAACATCATCATCATCGTCATCATCATTGGTAACAGCATGTCGAACACAAAACAAATTCCCCTTGAAGCGCACGAGTTAAAATGGAAACATCGTAGCAATAGCAGAGCCAAGACCAATAAATCCTCGAATGCAAACAAAGAAATTTCCCTACATGTGCGAGAGTATTCTCTGTGTGTTATCTCAACCAGTCGAATACAGTGGGCGTTGCCGTCTATAGTAGGAACACAATGACCGTTGTAAATCGCGACCTTGGCTTTGGTCGACCACGTAAACACATTGACTTAAGCTTTGTCTTGGCCCTATGCATCCCGCCTTTGTAATTGCCTGCAGCGCGTCCTAATGTACGCAAATGTCAACAGCTAGCGATTTGCGGCTATAAGGAATGCGGCTTATCCTAGCTTCTTCACATTATGGGCATAAAATAGCGGCGCATATAATGAATATTCTACTAACCGCTTAAAAAGAAAAAAGAGAACAAAAGAGTAGAACTCGTATACTTATACCAGATATCGTTCATATTAAAACAGTCCTAACACCATTCGGAAAAACAGAACACAAAACAATGAATTCGGTCTGTTCTAGTGAACATTCATTTCATTTGAACATTCTTAGTTCAAAGCAATATATGTATGTATATTTTGTATTCTCAAATCAAATACCATTTGCGACCTTTCTGCTGCCAAAAATTTATTTATTGTTTTTTTAAATTTTATTTCTTTAGTGGGCTTTAGTGGGACATTATAACGTTTAGCTAAATTAACGACTCAAAAGACGTTAATACCTTTTAACCCATAAAAGTAGAGAATTCAATTATGTAGTTAACTGAAATGATTCGTTAGTTAATTTACAATAAAAATAGTCGACAATTTTCCCAGTCGTTGGGGGAAAATGTATTATTATTTATTATGCCATAAATACAATACTATATGTATAAATAATTTGTTATTAACAATGTAAAAAAACTTGGGGTTTCACTGCACTTCTAAGCTGTGAGTCATGAATGAGCCCGGACGTTGTTATTCGTATGTGTTTACGATTGCCAAGCCTGCCGTCTGAATTCTGATTGAGCAGTTACTTATATATAGTACTTGTAAAAAAATATGAAATTGGCAAGAAAATTATAAGTGACAAGAAAGGTTCGACGTCTGTCTATCAGCGTTCAGAGTCTGCATGACAGCTTTATGATGAAGCCAATCGAATACATGGATCGAAATGACCTTCGTAATTGCAATATTGATTATCTGATTGTTATGCTGATATTTGTGTATGTATTTATCCCCTGGGTACCTCGTACAATAAATGATGTAAGTATTCATATGCTTGAACAAAGCGATCTGCACTTTCAGAAATTAAAGTCAAACAATTGAGGCGTGCTGGTGGCGTGTCCGGTCTTAATTATGTATACGCAGCATTTCCTCATTTTACGTAGACGTCGGAGATTGCTGACGCAAAATGTTGAAATTATTTTAAAATAACTCAACTCATTTTTATTTTTATATTTTGTTGTAGTTTTTGCCCATTTCAACGCATTTTTCGGCATATATAGTACTCGTACATATTTTTTTGTTTTCGTTTACGTTTGCATTTTGTTTGCTATTCTGGTTTTTTCCTGTGTTTTGTTCTTTTTGTGCCTGCCAATTGACGAATTGAATACGCGCTGCTCTTTCGTCAATTGAGGCTTGAGATAGTTAGCCGGCATGGCTACCTCTGCCCTCAAAATTGCTGTCGACATTTCCACTGACGTCATAGCGTCAACTCACTTAACACATCGCTGATATAGTCATTGCCTCCAGCGTTTGTTGTCGATTTTAAACTTAAGCATGCCTAGTTACGAAAAGAAATATACAATAAACCTTTCAATTAAAGATAATAACAAATGTACATACAATACGTATTTGTATATGTTTTATTGGCGCACCTAGGGGAACTTGTCGTCCAGTGCAGCGATCCATGATAAGTGTGCCCAATGACGACAACGGCCATGACTTGCTACGGCGATAATAATTGAGTTTTAACTAGTTTGTTAGATTTGCGATGTGGTTTTATGTGATTGACTAGAAGTTTCATGACAACCATATCCTGTCATTGTTTCGCCGATAAACATTACTTACAAGTATGGAGAAATGTGCACGATCTGTGGGCAGCTGTAACTGATGCTTAAGAAGCATTTCTTTTTGTTTTATCTTGCCATATCTGTTGTTAATAAATGGCAATGAATGGCGGAAAAAAGACTTATTTTTTTGGCTGCTAACATTGCTGACATGCCACAATTGCTTCTGACAGGCGACATCCAAGAGGCAGGGCAGAATGTGGGTGCATCGAGTGGGTGAAGGTCGTTCACGATAAAGAGTGAAAGTATATGTCTAGAAAAAACATATGATGGTGGGTCATAGATGAATGAATACGCATAACCTTTGAATGATTTGCAGTAAACGGGCTCAGAACATTTTATTGAGGGCGGGTGTCGCGAAAAAGTTAGGATTTCACATGCAGTTTTATATCCTCTTTAAACTAGCAAACTTGTAAATTATCCGGCACTGGGCCGTTGCGAGATAAAAAATCGTCAATTCCACCGAAAAACTTCTTCACGACATGTTTATATCGTGTATTCTGGTAAAAACGGTATATTAGGTTTGTGCAAAGTATGTAACAGGCAGAAGCAAGCATATCCGACCCCATGAAGTATATACATATATTCTTGATCACCATGACGAGAGAAATCGATCTAGACATGTAGTTGAAGGCATAACCTTTTTATCAAAATCTGATAGCAGTGTTTGAAAATGCTACTTGATATTCTATTCTTGACTACGGCATTTCATTTCATTCACAAAAGATTTATTTCCAAAAGAAAAATGTCTGTGTTTCTATTATAACATTCCATATTGTTATCTCTATACATATATGTATGTATATAAAACAGTTTGTTCTGACTGACTGATTGGCGATCAACGCACAGCCCAAACGGTAAAAGCTAGAATGTTGAAATTTGGACATAAGTATCATTTCACAGTGAAAGTGAGTACTAATGAGTTTTTGGTTTTAGGAAATTCGAACTCCAAAGGGGGGAAAACGAGCTCCAAAGTTTTTTTTTCTTAAATCTTCATTTTCCCACCGATCAATTTCAAATTTCGTTTTTATAAACCAGAGAAAGAAATTTCACAATTTAATTCCACAATAGTAAATTTAGATTTTTTAGAAATTTCACAATTTAATTTTTGATTTGCCAGCGCTTAGGTACTTGGTATGAGAAACGTAGAGGAGCGTGGCCACAATATTTTTATTTATCAGAAATTTACCAATTTAATTTCAAAATATTATAATTTTTATTTTACAGAAATTTACATACATACAATATACATATGTATGTAAATAGTACGTGTATGATCACAGTATGTATTGTACTAGCTTTCGGAACGTGCCAAAGTAATTTGCTATTGGCAGTTCCTTTAGAAACTTTAGAAATTGTCGGAATTGCAGGCAAAAATACTGAGGCCTTCAAATACGGGCAAGACGTGCTGGTTTATTACATTATAAGTATTTAACGCTTGTCATTTTATGTTCGATTTCACTCTTCACACTTCAGTGATTAGTTTTAGCTTTCATTAATTGATAGGGAATTTACATCACGTAATCTCTAGTGTTATCTAAGTGTTATTATTATTATTAAATTCCCATGAAAATTGAAACATGTTTCAGCAGAAAATTCAATAGTAAAATGGCTCAGCCATCAAGCGCAGCTGCTTTGTGAAGTTCAAGTCTGCTTCAGAGTATCTGTTAATTACATCTTTGCGATGATTAGTGAAATTATAAGTTATACTACTATATGCTATATAGTTCTGAATTAGTTATGTGCTTATCAGTGTGTAAATTATTTAATTAACACATCCCTGAATGTGTCGAGTAATTATTTAAGCAGTATG